AAAAGACAAATTTAACAGCTGGCAAAATTCACAGGTTGGTCCCCTGACTTGTGGAGTAAGGGTTGTTACAGTGGGAAAGGCCAAGTGGAAACCATTAGAATTAAAATCTAGGAAAATACTAAGTCAAGAACAATAGTGCATTCCTGGAGGGATTGCACACATTAGTGCCACCATCAAAGATTTAAAAGATGCAGAGGTGGTGATTCCCAGCACATTCCAATTCCACTCTCCTGTTTGGCCTGTACCAAAGACAGATGGATTTTAGAGAATGACAGTGGATTATCAAAGATTAACCAGGTGGTGACTTCAATAGCAGCTGTTGTACCAGATGTGGTCCTATTCCAGGGTGATCAGCCAGCTACCTGGCTGCAGGTTGATTACATTGAATTCCATCATGAAAGGGGCAATGTTTTGTCCTTATGGAATAGACACTCTGGATATGGGTTTGCCTTCCCTTCATGCAATGGACTTACAGAATGCTTTGTCTACATCTCGTTTTTCCACACAGCATTGCTTCTGATCAAGAAACTCACTTCACAGCAAAAGAAGTGTAGCAATGGACCATGCTCATGGAATTCACTGGTCTCACCATGTTCCCCACCATCTTGAAGCAGCTGGCTTGACAGAACAGTGTAATAGCCTTTTGAAGACTGAGTTACACTACCAGCTAGGTGACCATACCTTGCAGAGCTGGGGCAAGGTTCTCCAGAAGGCTGTAAATGCCCTGATTCAGTGTACAGATATTGGGTTGTTTCTCCAATAGCCACGATCCAGGGGTCCAGGAATTAAGGGGTGGAAATGGAAATGAAAATGGCACTGCATACCCATTAAGATGGCTAATATTAAAGAAAAACTGAGAAGTGTTGGTGAGGATGTGGAGAAATTGGAACCCTTGTTCATTGTTGATGGGAATGTAAATTGGTACAGCTGCTGTGGAAAACATTATAGGAGTTCCTCAAAAACTTACAAATAGAATTACCGTATGATCCAGCAATTCCACTTCCAGGTATATACCCAGAAGAATGAAAGCAAGGTCTAAAAGAGATATTTGAACACTGATGTTCATAGCAGCATTATTCACAATAGCTAAAATGTGGAAGCAACCTGACTATCAATCCACCAATGAATGGATAAGCAAAAGGTAGTAAATACAGTGGAATATTATTCAGTCTTAAAAAGGAAGGAAATTCTGATATATGCTACAACATGAATGAGCCTTCAGACATTATGCCAGGTGAAATAAGCCAATCACAAAAAGACAAATACTGTATGATTCCCCTTATGTGAGGTACTTAGAGTAGGCAAAATCACAAAGACAGAAAATGTAAAGGTGGTTGACTAAGGATCCTCCCTTTTCCTTATTGCTGTATCATTCAGGAAGATGAGATGTGTTAATAAAACTCGCTAATCTGCATCTCTATGTAAAGTTCTATCTACTTAGAAGATAAAGAATTGGCTTTTGGATCCTCCTCTGAAACAAGATAATCAGTCTTCAATCCAGCTTGTAGATGGGTGTTCACAAAATCGGGCATCATGGAAGGATATAACCTATAACCTTGCCTGAATCTAAAAGGTGGATTGTAAGTATAGGATTCTCCAGAAGCAGAGCCTGAGATAAGGACTTAGGGGAAGATAGGTTATTTGGAAGGTGACCCCAATGAGCATCAGAGTGGGAGCAGGGAGAATAAGACAGAGAAGGATGAAAAGCCAGTAAGGGTGAGTTACTGAGTGATTTCACTGTGGGCAAACGAGGCTCAGTCTCACTTGGAGTCCCCTAAGGACCAACATAGAACATAGCTGAGAATTTTCCTGTCAAAGAATAAGAAGCTTGGGCGTTTATATACCAATTCTGTCATTCTTTCAGGGTTACCCTTGGCGATATTATTTCACCTACTTCTTGCAAGCTGTACCTCAGAGCTGGCTAAGCAGGCTTCTGAAGCTTCATGAAAGCCCTGAGCAGAGTAGCTTGTTCTGGTGCACACTTGAGATGGGAGGCTGTCGGGATCGATAGAACAATTCGTCTATAGTAGGAGAAAAATCACAGGTGGGTAGAGATGACTGTGGTATAGAGCACAAATGGCATATCCTTTAGCTACAGAAGCTGCTTTTAATACCTGACTCAAAGAATTTAGTGTCTAAAAATAACACCTTCAACCATGCAGTAACTAATTCCATTATTTTCTAATACCCAAAAGAAAAGTATTTGCATAATCTCTTGAACTGGGAAGGGCCTCAGTTACATTTTGTTCTGCTGCCCAGACTTCTAGCCACTGCTATGATGGAAGATTCTAGATTGACTTAAAAGTACATTTTTGGGCCTCTCCAAATCATAGATGTAAGGGCATCAATCAACATCATAGATAGGTATTTGAGAAGATGCTGAAGGTAAAGGACTGATAGTTTAAGATGGGGCTAAGACCTTAGAATACTGGTAAACTAAAATAGAAATCCCAGTCTGAATGTTTTGTGTTTCTCATATTTCTATAAGGCCCTATTCTACCAGGGTTTTTTTTTTCATGCAAATTGGTATGTGATTGACCTATGACAAAGGATCTGGTATAATTCTTCCCTTCTCAAAATGGAGGGTCAATTGTTCACTCCTGTTAAATCAAGATGATAAAATTAAATAGGAGAACCACAAAGATAAGACAGTGTGTTGATCTTGCTTCTAAGGAACAAAGTGGTACATAAGGTGAGGCAGCCTTAAGTGCACATCTGGTCCCTCTTACTTTTTAATGTCCTCTGCTTCCACACAAAAAGGGGATTGTACTCACAAATGTACCTGGATTTAAAAACAGAAATTTGGGTTCCAGAGTCTGGGCCCCTGAAAGCTATGGAAATGATTGAAGGGATGTTTGAAAACTTCAATGTTGAGAATAGGACTAAACTAACCAAGTTTCCAAACTATTTATTGGCATTAAAGTATGGGCTTATTCAAAAGAATGTTTCAGAGTTGGAATGTTCTATGTTGAGGTGAATTTCTAATGCATCTGGACAGTTTAAGTGCATATAACCTGCTGTAGAAGAAAGAACAGAAAGAACAAGAATGTGGTTCCATTCTTGTCTGTCCCCCTAATTAACTGAATATACTGTATATCTCTAACAGACTCATTTAATTCTTAGTTTATTCACCTGTGGGAATTCTATATGCTAGGAATGTGTGAGTGTATGTAAAACAGAGGCTACATGTTGTATTCCACTACTGTCCCAGCTCTCTGGGCCACTTTAAACAGATTCCATATAGTTATATCTTTGTCGAAGGTGGGATGTTCCTTTTCTACCACCATCACTGCACAAGGTGACAAAGTCTTTCATCTTGGGATGCGGGTGAGAAGGCTTCATGTTCCTTGACTGTCAGATGAGGACCAGGCTGAATCTCAGGGCACAAACTGAAGTGTAAAACTGGGCTCTAGATTGACTACTGACAATTGGTGGTCCTCACCAGCTGACAGCTCTGTGGTTACATGCTTCCAGACCACTGCATGGTAGGGGTGTGGATGATTAGAGGCTCACTGGTCAGTCATCCACAACCCAATTGGTCATTGTTGCTCCTTTCATTCCTTTCTTCTTCCCCAGCAGAAACACTTGCTCAGCAAGCATGTCTTTCCATCTCCCAAAGGCAAACTGACCTGATGGTATATTTTTTATACCCTTTGTTTCTGTTCTCATAGTGAATAGCCTGTACTTGGGTAGGCAGGGGCCTCAAGTTACAGGTAAAATAATTAAGTGTGGGGGGAGCACAGGCCACATTGATTACTGTTTTGAAATCTTCCATTCATGCTTTGAGACCCATAAAGTACTATCTCGTGGTTCTCCTCCTACTTAGTAGGCTGCTGCTTCTAAATCTCCTTTGTTGGGTCCTTACCCTCTTTCTTCTTAGCATGACACATTTTTTATTTGTTTTCTGTTGGCACCCACTAGAAATGTAAGTTTCTAGGTACTTTACCTCTTCACTTATGTCCCTAGTGCCTAGGACAGTGTCTAGCACACAGTTAATACTCAGTTAATAGTTGTTGAATGAATGAAGGAGTAGAGGCTGAAATGTTTAAGCAAGTGTTCAGTGAAAGCCAGGAGAAAACATATAAACAGAGTAACACCTTGCTCATTCAACAGACGTTCATCTAGCACCTAGTATGGCTCCAGCTTTGTGCTGGGTGCTGAGTGTATGTGGGATCTATGCAGACATGGCCCTTGACTCCTTCTGGTCTGTCTCATATATGGGGTGACAATTCCAGAAGTCCAAACCTAAAAGATTGAGGACCAAAGAGAATCAGAGTTCACGTTTCCTTTACACAGACCAAACTTTACCCAGGATGATGGACAACTGCAACGACCTTCTCCGTCCAGGGAGGCAGTGTCCCCATCATCTACACAGGACCTTGCAATTTCAGCTAGATTGATATCTGAGACCAGAGCTCCTCATCATTTGGGTAAGAGATACACCGACATTAAACGAATTCACCAGGGAGTCATTTATAAGCCATGTTATTTACGGTGAGACCTGGCACTAGGGTGAGGAACAGATGGGAAAAGTCGCCCACGAAGTCATTCAGACTTTGGAGAAATTACTCTCTACCAACCTCAGTTGTAATGCAAACTAAAACAGAAATGTTCAATTCCTTCAGGAGGCAACAAGCGTCCTGAGGGCCTGTGCTGTGTCGTTCACCTCTGCATCCTTGGGGTCTGCAATACATTCACCCCCGACTCTTTTCGATGGGAGGAACGAACACCCAAGGACCCAAGAGCTCGGCCCTCGCTCCCCGGCACCGGGTAAAGCTAGGAACCATAGAGATGTACGTTCCTAGAGGGCCAGGACTGGGAGAGGGCTGAGCGACCGGAAGTCGCGCTTCCGCGGGTCAGCCATTATTCTGGGCCTCGGCTGCCGTCGCGACCAGTTCTCGTGTCATCTCCCGGCGTCCCGGCGCCGAGGCGGCAGTCCCCAAAGCCGGAGCCGCCGCGGGAGCCCCCGGTGAGCGGCGTGGGCTCGGGTCGGGTTGGCATGCGTGGAGGGCGGCCCGGGGTGCGGCTTGAGCTCGCCAGGGCGGCCCACCTCTCGCCGGCCCCTCCCCGGCCCTGACCCCCAGCAGGTCCCTCCTCAGCTCGGTGTTGAGGTGAATGCCATGGCCGAGGCTTGGGGAAGGTATTGAAGATAGCGCCCCTGAGTCTGTGTCTGTGGACCGGTCCTCACGTCAGTAGAATGTACTGCCCCTTGGAGGACAGCGCCCTCAGTAGCCGGGGTCCCCAGCTCGGGCCTTTCCGTTCTTAATCTTCTCTGACACTGATGTTGAGACACAGCCTGGGACACCCCCTGGAGCCGGGGCTCCCAGACTTATGGGAGCTTTTTTTTTTTTTTCTTCCTTTGAGGGATGGACCAATTCCCATCTTTTAATTTTGTAATATAATGGTATTTAAAAAGCAAACCAAGACCACCCATACAACCATTGCTTCAAAGAATATATTTTCACACTTTACGTGCTAAGACCATAAATTCAGAGTAAATGCCGTCTTTTGCAAAAAAGGTCATTGACAACCTTTCAATGACTATGTATGATGATTGTTACTATTTTCATTTTACAGGTTACCAGAACCAAATTAAAGCTTTATAATGAACTATTATTTGGAAACCATTGCTTTAGAGTAGTTGTTTGGGTTTTCTTAGATGCAGTTATATTGGAGTTTTTGAATCCCTGAGTTCGGAATTTGCACCCACAACTGATCTAGTTGAGTGACCTTGAGTGAATCACTTAGCTCCTCTGAAGCTTCTTTTTGTTCTTTTTAACTTGTGACTCTCAAACCTGTTGTAAGAAGCAAACAAAATGTATGTTTAGGATTTTGTTATTTGTATCTGTTAATAATATAAGAGTAAATAGAATTCAGATAATTTACTATAGAAAATTATTTAGAAATCCTTTTCCCCCCAGGTTTTTTTGTTTGTTTGTTTGTTTATTTATAGACTTTATTTTTTTAGAGCAGTTTTAGGTTCACAGGAAAATTGAGCAGAATATACAGAGATGTCCCATGAACTCCCTGCCCCCACTCTTGCATAGCCTCCCCCACCATCAACGTACCCCACCAGAGTGGTACATTTGTTGCAGTTGGTGAACCTGTATCAACACATTATTATCACCCAAAGTCCATAGGTTACATAAGGGTTTGCTCTCTGTGTTTGTACATTCTATGGGTTTGGACAGATATATAATGATAGATGTAATGTATCCACCATTTTAATATACAGCATAGTTTCACTGCCCTAAAAATCCTCTGTGTTCTTCCTGGCTGTCCTGCCCTCCTCCAGCCCCTGGCAACTGCTGATCATTTCACTGCCTCCGTGGTTTTGCCTTTTCCATAATGCGATATAATTGGAATTGTACAGTATATTGGATTTTCAGATAGGTTTCTTTCACTTAGTAACATGTACTTAAGTTTCCTTCATATTTTTTCATGGCTTGATAGCTAATTTTTCTTTAGTGCTGAATAATACTCCATTGCCTGGATGTTCTACAGTTTATCCATCCACCTATTGAAGGACATCTTGGTTGCTTCTAGGTGTTGGCAATTATAAATAAAGTTGCTATAAACATCTATGTACAGGCTTTTGTGTGAACATGCCTTCACCTCCATTGGATGAATACCAAGGAGCATAATTGTTAAAATTTATGGTAAGATTATGTTTAGTTTTATAAGATACTACCAAACTGTCTTCCATAGTGAATCTTCGTATTGCATTCCCACCAGCAATAATTGAGAGTTCCTGTTGTTCCACATCTTCACCAGCATTTGATGTTGCCAGTGTTCTGGATTTTGGCCATTCTAATAGTATGTAATGGTATCTGGTTGTTTTCATTTGCATTTGCCTGATAACATGTGATGTGGACTGCATTTTCATGCAGTTATTTGGAATCTGTATAACTTCTTTGGTGAGTTGTGTGTTTAGGTTTTTGGGCCATATTTTAATTGAGTTGTTTGTTTTCTTATTGTTGAATTTTAAGAGTTCTTTGTATAAAATATATAAAGGATAATAGTCCTTTATCAGATATGTGTGTCTTTTGCAAATATTTTCTCTCAGACTGTAGCTTGTCTTCTCATTCTTGACATTGCCTTTTGCAGAGCAGAGTTTTTAAATTTTAATGAAGTCCATCTTATTTCTTGCATGGACCATGCCTTTTGTTTGTATCTAAAAAGCTATCACTATACCCAAGGTCATCTAGGGTTTTTTTCCTAGGTTATCTTCTAGGAGTTTTATAGTTTTGCATTTTACATTTAGGTCTATGATCCATTTTGAGTTAATTTTTGTGAAAGGTGTAATGTCTGTCTAGATTGATTTCTTGCACATGAAAGTCTGGTTGAACCAGCACCACTTGTGGAAAAGACTGTGTTTTCTTCATTGTATTGCCTTGACTCTCATGTGGGCCTATTTCTGGGCTCTCTATTCTGTTCCATTGATTTGTCTACTCTTTTGCCAATACCACACTTTCTTGATCACTGTAGCTTTATACTAAGTGTTGATGTGAGGTAGTGTCAGTCCCTCAACTTTGTTCTTCTCCTTCAATGTTGTGTTAGTTATTCTGGGTCTTTTGCCTTTCTATATGAACTGTAGAATCAGTTTGTCAATATCCACAAAATAACTTGCTGAGATTTTGATTGTTGTTGCATTGAATCTATAGATAAAGTTGAGGAGAACTGGTACTTTGACAATATTGAGTCTTCTTATCTGTGAACATGGAATGGAAATCCTTTTTTAAAAATTCCTTTCCATCACCCCCAGATCAGTTACCAAAGAACCAATCAGAACCGTTTTTCTCAGTTGTTCTATCCTTACTGCTGTTTAATGTAGAACTTAATTATGTGTTTAGACTCTAGGTTTCCCCCAATATCTGAAAGTAGAGTGTTCTTATGAAACCTTTCATAAGCTGAAATTGCATAAAGCAAAGAAACAATTACCTTAGGACATGCCTTGCTAACAGATGCACAGAGTAAAACTAGATTTGTGCTCCCAGATGCTCACAGACACAGTTTGAAGCTCTGGTGGCTTGTTGCTGAGATGCTGAGGGTAGTTTCCAGGAAAGAAGCTTAGCGGCGCCACTCTCGCTACTTGGGATACGTGCTGCCTCTATAACAGCTCCCTGCAAAACAAACACTGAATTTTGTTTTAACTTTTTGACTTTTTTTGTAAAAGCGAATATCCTCTTTGGATTTCTTTTGGTTAGTGAAAACAGGTACTAATATATAGGTTTTGCATAAAAGCAAACTGACATAAAGTGAACTTTCAGAAAGTGGAGGATAACAGTACCTTTAGGCCCAATAATTTTTTTTTCTGGAATTTTCCTTGGAGATATAAGCAGAGACCAAAAATTCATAAGCAAGGATGGTCACTGAAGCTTAATTTATAATATGGGAAAACTATAAATAAATGTCTAACAGTAGGGGACTACTTAAGTATGGGTGGGTTCATATACTCTTAAAAATAGTGATGAAGAATATTTGATATTATGATCACAACATAATGTGTGTGAAAAGCAAATTATAGAGCAGTACATTTGGATCCAATCTTGTGATCCAGATAGGTGCATAGAGAAAGGACTGGAAGAACAATAACAATGATTATTCTCTGGTTTTTATGTGTTTTCTGGTTTTACAGATTTTCTGTTTTGTAATAGGAAAAATAAGTGTTATTCTGAAAAACAAGATTTCAGGAGAGCAGAAGCCTAAGTTCTGGGTAATAAAACCTTATTCAAATTTATCCAAATATTTTGATTAACAGAATGAACACTTTTCAGACCATCTAAAGTATGTACAGTAAAGCTACACAGAACTTATGTAGCCTCTGTCAGTTGAGAAGTTGCTAGGATTTTATCTCAGGTGTATTAGGAATAAAACATGATTGCTTTTTGATTCTGTGGATCATAGGAAAGAATGCTAATTACAGAAGGATAATGGTTAACATTTGAGTCCATATACCAGACATTGTTCAAAAACCTGAAATGTATTTCACATCACATTTTTCCAGCACGTCTATGAGGTAGGAACTGTTGTTGCTACCCCTATTTTACAGGTTAAGAAACTGAGACTTAGAAGTAGGGTAACTTGTTCAAGGTCACACAGAAATAGCCAGGATGCCCATTGTTAGGATGGTAAATAAAGGATTTATTGTAATTAGGTGGAGGAGACACTGTGAATAAAGACCAAAGGAATTTCATGTTTTTGGTATCAGCAGTGGTCTGGGTGACATGAACATCAGGGTCCCTAGTCTTAGGAAGGGGCTTTGGTCAGAGGAGGTACTGCCCAGAGCCCAGAACCTGGCATTCAGGGAGGTTCTCTTCATTACTGGGGGCTAACTGGGCTCTGGAAAACCTGGTTGTTTCTCTGGGTTAACTTTAACAATGATTTCTTGAAGTCTCGTAGATGGTGTTCTCCAAGCTCTAAGGAAGAAGTCAAGCAAGGATCGAGGGGCCCAGGAGAGGAGACTTTCTTAAATGACAACAATGACAAGAGACAGTTGGTCCCACAGTGCTCTGAGACAAGAGGGCCTTGTTAAAGGGAAGGATGATACTTGGAAATGGGGAACCAGCTTCCAAGGGAGCAGCTCTTCTGTTTGGGAGACCTCCCACCTGCACTTTAGACAGTTACGTTACCATGAGACATCTGGACCCCAGGAGGCACTGAGCCGACTCAGGGAGCTCTGTCGCCGGTGGCTGAGACCAGAAGCACGCACCAAGGCCCAAATCCTGGAGCTGCTGGTGCTGGAGCAGTTCCTGAGCATCCTGCCTGGAGAGATACGGACCTGGGTGCAGATCCATCGCCCCGGGAGTGGTGAGGAGGCTGTGGCCCTGGTAGAGGAGCTGCAGAAAGACCTTGATGGGCCAGCACTAAAAGTGAGAAAAGGGGAGGGGAAAGAGTTTGGGGTGGAAGGAGGGAGGCAATTGAAGCAGGACAGGCTGAGATAGAGGATGATCCTGTGATTTTCATCAACAGCTAATAACACATTAGCAACAGTAATGCTAATTAAAGCAGGTTTGTGAGCTGTTCAGACTATAGAGTATCTTTGCAGAGAAATGGATTAATAATCGGGGTCTTTGGGCCAATTCAGATTCAACACAAAGGCATTGACTCTGCTTTGTCTCCCTGGGTGATGCTTGCTAATGCTGAGTTTGGTTCAGGAACCTAAAGAACGTAATGTAAGTGTTCCTCTAAACGGAAGCATGTGTATATTTTGTATAAGTCTGTTTAGGGTGATGTTGTAAGCCTGAAGTTTATAAGTCTGTGGGAGAGCAGGAATGAAGCTTTCTAGATCTGGAAAGACCTTCCCCACCCCGCCCCCATGTGTGCCCCTACTGGGGATTCTGTGAGCCAAGGGATCGGGTTGAGATATTTGCCTCTGATAAGATTTTATATCCTTGGCTATTAAATTAGGATCTTAATAGAGTTTCTAGTGTTTTAGGTCTCTTTCTGTCAATCTAGAGACCAGTAGAAACATTTCTATGTAAAAAGTCTAAAATATAGCTTAAACTTGGTGGGGAGGGTATAATTCAGTGGCCGAGTGCATGCCTCGCATGCATGAGTTCCTATGTTCAATCCCTAGAACCTCCATTAAAAAAGTAAATAAACCTAAATAAATAAAAAAACCTATTACCTTCCCCACCCCCCAAAAAAAAGTTAAAAAAAAATAAACTTGGGAGCAGCACCAAGGATGGGCTTGATTTAATCATAAAATGACGAATTTTCGAGCTATGTATTTCAGTCCTTATCAGTAATCCATCTTTCTCATTTGAAAGATAAGAAAACAGAGGCAGGAAAAGGTTCACTGCATTGCCTTAGGTGAGGCATCTAGCTAGCAGCACAACCACGTGTCTGGACTTCTACTCTAGTGTTCCTTCTATTGGAGCAGGAAGGGTTATGTAAAGGGGTGAATTAGTAGAAGACTATATTGAACCCAGGTTTTATCTAAAACACAGTCTGAAGCTAAAACTCATTCTCTTAATTGCTTGTTGCTTCCCATTCCCTCCTTAACCCACACCCAGGTCTGTTTCTAGCCCTCTGTTCAGGCTCCTCTGTGAGAGGTCACCAGTGCCATGAGTGGGGCTAGAGGGCAGCACCACTGTTCTCAAGGCAAAGCTTTACTGCTGTTTGATGCTCCATACTTGAGATGGGTCACTCTCATCTCACAGTTCTAGATTATGGGCAAAAAGAGGTCCATGGTGGTTAGGTGAGTCCATTTTCTGGAGGTACAGAAAGAACCAGTTATTTTGTTCTGCTTGTCCCCAGGTTCCAGTCCTTGTCCAGGACCAGGACACTGCCCAGGAGGGGATGAGCACTCCAGGAATAGCACTTCATACACCCACTGGCAGCCACATATCAGCTGAAATTTGCTCAAATCCTCTTACTGACCCAGTGGTGTTCAGCTTGCTCCAGGATCCTCAGCATGGTACTTACCCAGTGGCTCTGGCTTTGGACTTTCTCAGGACACTTACCAAGGCTCATCCCCCTACTCCTGATAGTTGCTTCCTCTCCTGCCCGTAAATGAATCCCTTATGGTATCAAGCTCTTTCCTGTTCTCCCTTTTATCCTTCCCTGGGTCCTTCTGACCTTTTCTGCATTCTTATTGCAACTCCTTGTGCTATTCCAGCCCTGCACATGGGGATCAGAAAAGATTTGTAGGTCATTTTGTAGCCATCATTGCCTACTTCTGGGAGTCCTGGGCCTTTTTGAATTCCTTGCTTACAGAAGGTAAGGATATAGGCCTTGGAGTCATGGGCAGGAACAACAGTTACCTCATATGCAACTTTTCCTCCTCCTTCAGATTCTCCTGCCCCTGAAGCTTCTACCCTTTCCCAGGAAGAGAACCCAAGAAATCAGTTAATGGCTCTGATGCTTCTGACAGCCCAGCCTCAGGTAAAGTTTGCATCCTCTTTTCTTGCTAAGGCTCTGTCTGCACTACCTAATTGTGGCTGCAGTATATCCTCTCTCATCCTAGTGCTTAGGCGTCCAGCTAGTTCCCACCTCTAAGTCAAGGGCCATGCTACTGGAAGGCAGACTTCATGTGGGGTCTCCTTATGTCTCCCTGAAAGCCCTTGCCCACCTCAAGGCCTGACAACATGTCTCTTCCCGGGAAGTGAAAGGGACCTTTCCGTAGGGGAGCTCTTGGGCACGGGTAATCTCACACATACCTTTTATTTCAGGAATTGGTGATGTTTGAGGAGGTATCAGTGTGCTTTACTTCGGAGGAATGGGCCTGCCTGGGCCCAATTCAGAGGGCCTTGTACTGGGATGTGATGCTGGAGAATTATGGAAATGTGACTTCCTTAGGTAAAGACCCTTCCTCCCCATAATTGTTACCTTGATTCCATCAGCTTTTGTTTGTTTTTTTAATTATGAAAGTAGTATATCTTATTTTGGAAAACACAGAATATTAGAATAAAAAAGCTTTTTAAAACCCACTATTTGCAAACAAACTACTATCAAAATTTTGATATATTACCTTTCTGGCTTTTTCTGTGTTTTGAGATTTTTCTTACATTGTTTTAAGAGGGTGTGTGTGTATGTGTACAGTTTTATAGCTTGCTTTCTTTGCATTTGCCTCACTCTCGTATTATTACAAATTGTTTGCAGGCATTATCTGTATTGGCTATATAATTTGTGTCATAATTTAGTTAGCCACTTCCTTTTTTAAATAATTGCCATAATAATCATCTATCTAACCCTGTGCCTTAGGGGTGTTTTTTTTTCTTTCCTCATTTTTTAGAAATAGAATTGCTAGGCCTAAGAGATTGTTTTAAGACTCTTGCTTCGTACTGCCAAATTGCTGTGCCTAGTGATCTCAGTCCTCTCTGCTCTTGCCAGCTGTACATAATGCTCCTTTGGCTCTGCCTCCACTGATACTGAGTAATCTCATCCTTTTAAATTGTTGCTAATATAATTTTTAAGTTATAGTATCTATTTTCAAGTAGATTTCTTTGATTAGTAATAAAAGTACTTTTTAAAAAAACCATTATACTTCCAACAAACAAAACACCTACCATGTAATAATGGCAGCTGTAGAAGTGATGTGATTCTACCCTTAAGTAGCATGATTTGGGAGATGAACATAAAAAGAATAAACAAAGCAGAGTGAAATAATTGGTACTGGAGTGGCATAAGCCTCTTGAGATGGAAATGGAGAGGACAAAGCATCTGTACCATCCCTGGGGATTAGGAAAGGCCATGAGGGAGCTAGCTTTGTGTCAGCCCTGAAGGGAAAAGTCGGATTTTGTTTCAGTGTTGAATACTGAGGAATCAGCTAATAGACTAACTTGGGCTGAAATACCGATTTATAGTATTAGCTTAAATGGCTGCATAGTATTCCATTGTCTTGAGTATCATGCTTTACATATACAGCTTGTTGAGACTGAACTTCTGTTCAGAAACATTACATGTCACCCCATTTGTTCTTGCTGCCTTTGTTACAGGCCTGTTTTAAAGTTGCATTCACATAGATCTTGCATATTTCTAATTCACTGATTTTTTTTGGAATAGGAATCTTTTCTGATATTTTCTAATTGATTATTATTTGCATATATGAAAATACTGAATTTTTGTATGTTAAGTTTGTACCCAGAAACCTTGGTAAATTTTTGTTTTGTTCATAGTAACTAATACTGTATATTTTTACATTTATGAAAATACATCTTTTAGTATCTGAGCTGTGGTGTGGTGGGTCAAACATATTGTAGATTTTATATTTTGGTACATGTTATCAAACTGCTTTCTATCAGTGATGAACCAGTTTACACTTCCACAAAGAGAGCACAAGAGGGCCATTTCCCCTGTATGTTTATGATTTGGTCAGTGTTTTAAATGTTTGCTAGCTAGATGGAGAATATTATCTTTTGTTTATTTTTCCTTCATTTATTTGATTATTAGTGTGATTCAAGTCTTTTCACATGTTTAGTGGTCATTTTATTCTTATATTCTTCTTAACGTATTTCTTTATTCAAACCGCTAATCCTTTGTCAAATGCTGCACGTTTTCCCATTTGTTTGCCTTTCACTGTTATTTATGAATTGTTATATTTTAAGCCTTAGAAATCTTTAATGTAGTCAAATAGCAGTATTTTCCTTTATGGTCTCCTTCTCCATAAAATATTTTTTTAAATCTCCTACATTTTCTTCAGACATTTTTATTGTTTCATTTTTACATTTAAGCTTTAATACATCTAAAATTTATCCTGATATACAGAGTGACATAGGAATCCAGTTTGTTTGTTTGCTCCTTTTTTAACCCAAGTGGCTTTCAGTAGTTCTAATGCTATTTACTCAATTATCCACTTTTTTTTAAGAATTTTAAAACATGCTTTATGTGTTAATTGATTAATTTTATGAAAAACACTCACCATGGATCCATACCTCATGCTACAAGCCAAAATAGGTTCCAGGTGGGTCTAAGAGTTAAACTTTAAAAGTAAGAAGAAAATGGTATTCCTTATTTATTATAGCTCTTTGAGGAAAGAGAAGTTTCCTTAACAAGTAAGATATACTCTAACTACAATGTTGTTGGGGCTTTGGGCAAATACCAAGTTGTTTATGCCCTTTGACCTAGTAATTCTGATTTGAGGAATATATCTTAGGGAAATGGTTCAGAAAGAGGGAAAATAAATATGTCTAAAGTTAGTCCCAGCGAGGTATTTATAATGATTAAAAGTTGAATACAATTAAATTCCCCAAGATAGAGAGAATGCTACATAGACCGTGGTGTTTTGACTTAGGGGTAGACTGTGACACTATCAAATATGCCCGTTTTGTGCACTCAGTTTCTATGCATTGATAAGCTGGTAGAAAAGCAATCTCCCAGATGGCTTATCCATTTTATGGATAGGTCACATTTTGTTGATCCATTCATCAATTGATGGACATTTAGTTTACTTCCACCTTTGAGCTTTTATTTAATTTATTTTTTGTTGTTGAAAAACTTTTATTTTTTTTTATTGACATATAGTCAGTTTATAATGTTGTGTCAGTTTCTGGTGTACAGCATAATATTTCAGTCATACACATACATACGTATATTTGTTTTCATTTTCTTTTTCATTATAGGTTACTACAAGATATTAAATAAAGTCCCCTCTGCTATACAGAAGAAACTTATTGTTTATCTATTTTGTATATAGTAGTTAGTATCTGCAAATCTCAAACTCCCAGTTTATCCCTTCCCACTCCCTTCCCCATGGTAAACTTTTGGGCTATTATGAATAATGCTACTGTGAACATTTGTGTACAAGTTTTTGTGTGTATGTATGTTTTCATTTCTCTTGGATATATACCTTAGAGTAGAATCCCATGTTTTTTCTCTCTGTTTAGGTAGAAGAATAGTGTTTTTATACTCAAATAGAAGATAATGTTACTATTATTTACATAATTTTGCTTATTAGATAATTTGGAGGAACTAGTTTATAATTTTTCTCATATTTGAATGGTGAAAATAAGTTTCCAAAACATTTGAAATGTATATAATTTCATATTTTAAAAATGTTTGAGAATGTTGGAGTAGAAAAGAGGTTAAATAGTTTAGCCTCATTATTTTATAGATGTTTTCATGGTTTTTAGTGTCTCTATATTTTTTCTTTTCATTCTATGTTTATTCTCTTTTATGTCTAATTAAGTGAGGGAGTCTAACCCAGATCTGATATTTTGTGAAATGAATTTTAAAATTTCCATTTCTCAATTTTTAAAGGAATAATGGGAGATATATATAAATTCTAAGCAGTAAGTTGCTTATTAGTGTTTTTTTTCTGTAGGTTAACTGCTTTCGAGTAATTAAAAGGTGTTTATGCACTTGACTCTTCAAAAATTAACGATTGCTTTCAGAGTTTTGGGGTGTATTTTCTTTCTTTTAGAGTCCCCATCTTCCTAGCATGAAGAAAATAAAAAGACAGTTCTTTATAAGTGAAATGGTTCTATTCCACCCAACTTCTTGAGACTCAGATGTGAACCACCTACAGAAGATCCCATGTTCTTTCTCTGGGTCTTCCTTACATTTGTTTTTCAACATTCTTTGTATTTTTCCACCTGCTCCCTGAAGGCAAATAGGTTGGAAGTATCTCAGAATGAATTCTGTGTTAATCCATTTACAACATTCTGTCAGTGTAGCCTTCTGCTTTGTACCTTCATTTAATGAAAAGTCTCTCTTTTTTGTATGCATATAACAGTATCCTTTTAGCTTGTTTTAGAGTCATTTGAAGATCTTATTCTCACTAATGGTAACATTCACGTTTTTAATTCCTTTTACCAGAATGGGAGACCATGACTGAGAATGAGGAGGTGACATCAAAGTCAAGCATATCTCAAAGAGCAGATTCTCAGAAAGGAACATCAAAAAGACTTCAAGGAGGTGTACCCAAGGTTCTTGATTTTGAGGAAGATTGTGAATGGCAGGTTTTGGCAAGTCAGTGGGGAAATGAAACAAGGGAAAGAAATACACTGAAGAAAGTTTCCCTTTTTGAACAAGACAAGAAGAAAAGGACTCTACCAGAAAGACCAAGCCAAAAGTGGAAGGAATTTGGAGAGAGCTTGACTTTAGATTCTGCTCTTTCTGAAAGTTCAGTAGGCACCGAAGGAAAGAAGTTAAATAAATGTGATATATGTTATAAGCATTTCAATAAAATCTCCCATCTTATAAACCATCGGAGAATCCACACTGGGGAGAAGCCTCATAAGTGTAAAGAGTGTGGAAAAGGCTTTATTCAGCGCTCAAGCCTTCTAATGCATTTACGGAACCATTCTGGAGAGAAGCCTTATAAATGTAATGAATGTGGGAAAGCCTTCTCTCAAAGTGCTTACCTTCTAAACCATCAGAGAATCCACACAGGGGAGAAACCCTATAAATGTAAGGAGTGTGGAAAGGGCTTCTATAGGCATTCAGGCCTTATTATACATCTAAGGCGCCATTCTGGGGAGAGACCTTATAAATGTAATGAGTGTGGGAAAGTTTTCTCTCAAAATGCTTACCTCATTGACCACCAGAGGCTCCATAAAGGAGAAGAACCTTATAAATGTAACAAGTGTCAGAAAGCTTTCATTCTGAAGAAGAGCCTCATTCTGCACCAAAGAATTCACTCTGGGGAAAAGCCCTATAAATGTGACGAGTGCGGAAAAACCTTTGCCCAGACCACTTACCTTGTTGACCATCAGCGGCTCCACAGTGCAGAGAACCCGTATAAATGCAAAGAATGTGGGAAAGTTTTCATTCGAAGCAAAAGCCTCCTCTTACACCAGAGAGTTCACACAGAAAAGAAGACCTTTGGTTGTAAAAAGTGTGGGAAGATTTTTACTTGTAAGTCAAACCTCATCGACCACAAGAGGATGCACAGCAGAGAGAAGCCTTACAAGTGTACTGAGTGCGGGAAAGCCTTCACCCAGAGCGCTTACCTTTTTGACCATCAGAGACTCCACAATGGCGAGAAGCCCTACGAATGTAATGAATGTGGGAAAGTTTTCATTCTGAAAAAGAGCCTTATTTTACATCAGAGGTTCCACACTGGAGAGAATCTCTACGAATGTAAAGACTGTGGCAAGGTGTTTGGTTCTAACAGAAACCTCATTGACCACGAGAGACTCCACAATGGGGAGAAGCCCTATGAATGTCGAGAGTGTGGAAAAACCTTCATTATGAGCAAAAGTTTCATGGTCCATCAGAAGCTCCATACACAGGAGAAAGCCTACAAATGTGAGGACTGTGGGAAGGCTTTCAGTTACAATTCAAGCCTGCTTGTTCATAGGAGGATCCACACCGGGGAAAAGCCCTTTGAATGCAGTGAGTGTGGAAGAGCTTTCAGTTCTAACAGAAACCTCATTGAACATAAGAGAATCCACAGTGGTGAGAAACCCTATGAGTGTAATGAGTGTGGCAAATGCTTCATCCTGAAGAAAAGCCTCATTGGACATCAGAGGATTCACACAAGGGAAAAGTCTTACAAATGCAACGACTGTGGTAAGGTCTTCAGCTACCGCTCAAACCTTACAGCCCATCAGAGAATCCACACTGGTGAGAAGCCCTATGCATGTAATGAGTGTGGGAAAGGCTTTACTTACAACAGAAATCTTATTGAACATCAAAGAATTCACAGTGGGGAAAAAACCTATGAATGTCATATATGTAGAAAAGTCCTTACCTCTAGTAGAAATCTTATGGTGCATCAAAGAATCCATACTGGAGAGAAACCTTATAAATGTAATGAGTGTGGGAAAGACTTCAGTCAGAATAAAAACCTTGTTGTACATCAGAGAATGCACACTGGGGAAAAACCATATGAGTGTGAAAAGTGTAGAAAATCTTTCACTTCTAAGAGGAATTTAGTTGGCCACCAGAGAATCCACACAGGGGAGAAACCATATGGGTGTAATGATTGTAGTAAAGTTTTTAGGCAAAGAAAAAACCTAACTGTACATCAGAAAATTCATACAGATGAAAAAAACTGTGAATGTGATGAGTCTGAAAAAGAATTCTCTCAGACTTCAAACCTTCATCTTCAACAGAAAATCCATTCTGTGGAGGAATTCTCTTGGCTTCAAAATGCCAATGAGTCCAAGATAGAGATTCAGAAAATCTAATATTATATGCAAAATGAAATAGAATTCCTGACTCTTTAAGTACCTGTTGGATGAATGGTAGCATATGGTTTTTATAAGGGAAAAGAATCATGATTGACCCTTTTATAGACAAGTATGTTGCATGAGGAAGAAAGTTAATCTAGACGTTCAAGACTACAGAAACATAAACCAAATTCTAATTAAAAGGTACTCTGCTCCAGACCATTTGTTATGACCCTAGAAAAGGACTTTGGGGCAATTGAAGATTCTGAAGAAATTGGGTTCTGTCTTACAAGATGTAATGATGTCATTGTAAATGATAGCAAAAATATCTTTGTATTAAAAAGTGGACATTTTTGAAAAAATACATTTGTACATTTTAAAGATAGTATCACTAGTACAGAAAGTGCGTAGACAGTATGATTAAGACATATCAAACGTGGAGTTGGGTGGGCAAGAGTCTGCTGCTTGAGGACAACTTAAGAAGAACACTGGATTTAGAATTAGAAAACCTAGGTTTGGGTCCTGGCTCTTTCTCATTCTAGCTCGGTGATGCTAAGTCAGCCTCTATGTCTCAGTTTCTCTGTTAGTCAAATATTGGCATAATGCCTACCTCATATGGTGGTTGTGAGGATTGAGTGAGAGGATCATTGTCAAAGTACTTTATGAAATAATTTAATTGTCAATAAAGTTGGATAAGAGAGGTATGGTCAAAGTTCAGAACATGGCATAATGTGTTTGTACATTAAGTTAGTATTAGGACTTTGTGAACCTCAAAAGATGCGTTTTTATAGTAAGAGGAAGGATGGTGAATAGCTAACTTTGGAATATAGTACTCTAAAAAGACTTTAAAAACAGCTTTTAAAATGTGTAAGGGAAATAACAGATAATATACCTAGTTTTTATGAAAAAGGTATTGGCTTATTAAATATTTTGTCCAGCCATTAACATGATGCCAAGAAAAACAATTTATTTTTCAACCTTCGAATTTGAAGCCTAGCAGATGTAGAGTGTCAAAATGAAAGGACAGTCCTATGTTGCTTTCCTTGTTCACAGGAGAAAATCCTTAACCTCAGCCCCTGAGCTGATTATCCCTGCTACTGCCATTCTCAGTTGTAATCATGATTGCTGACATACAAATAACTTGTTACTCAAGAAGCAACATTCTGTCCTAGCAGTCAACTTACTACATGAGTTTTTCACACAAAGCCAAGCCTTTCAAAGCCCTGATTCAACCAATTCAGAATCCACCTCGGGTGGTCAGGCCCACATACTCCCAGCGAACCAGTCATTCATTTGGTCTGTACCCTTTTGTACATTTGTAAATTTAATTCTTCCTGTATCCTTGATTTCATAATTTTATGTTGTGATTCTCAAAATTCCAATTCTGTCGCTGGAATATAAATACGTTAATATTAGGATTGTGTTTTTTTAATACTAGCAGCATTGAATGGTGTGTTGATGATAATGTTATTAATTCAACTCCAAAGTTCCTTGAGGGCTGGTTCCTCATTCGACTCAAGAGTGAAAGGGCCGAGAGTGAAAACTGGAAGGGACCCAGGTTAAAAGTCTTGAGACCTGGGTATGAGTCAGCTGCTGCCACTTTTCCTTGGACAAATGCCTTCATTTCTTGGAGCCTTGATTTCCTCATCTGTTAAGCAAGAGGGAGAATATCTACCTCACCGAGTTGTTATGAGGTAATGAATATGAAGATGCTTTATGTCCATACTGAAGAAGAATCACCCCAGACTGTGTAATAATTACAGAGAGAGAGAGGTACTTTAACAATGGAGAGAGCTGGCATTTACTGCCTAATCATTTTAACAAAATGTAACATCACTAAAAGACAGAGACAACTCTCATGATGTACCTTCACTTGTGATGCAATAAGCCAAAAGTATAACCTGGATTTACCTAGCTACTTAGACCTGATTGCCAGTTTCCAGGAAATACAGGAGGCAGAGGAACAGGATAAAAGATACCATGAGTTACAAATTCAGAACATGGGCTATTGTGTGAGAAAATTACACTGGATTCTTCAAAAAGATATGGTGGAAAAGGGAGGGGGTAACAATTGTTGATGCTGGGTGTGTAATGAGAGTTCATTGTACTTTTGTATATGTATGAAATTTTCCATAATGAGAAGTATAATGGAGGCTGTTTTTTTTTTTAATGGAGGTGTTTAACATAGGACCTTGTGCATGATAAGCATGAACTCTGCCACTGAGCTATACCCTCCCCACTGATGGGTTTGTTTTTAAAAGATTAACTAGAGCCATAAGATACTGAGCCAGGAATGGACTCACACAAATGCCCAACTGATTTTTGACAAAGGTGCAAAAGCAATTCAGTAGAGGAGAGATAGCCTTTCAACAAATGCTGCTGGAGCAATTGCCTATCCATAGGCAAAAAAAATTCAGGAACTAAGACTAAGCAAAGAACTCGTAGACTTAAGCAAAGTATGCTCCATTAAAGGAAAAAAATGATAAATTGAACCTCATCAAAATTAAAATAATTTTCTTTGCAAAAGACTAAAGAGGATGAAAAGGCATTACATGCTGGAAGAAAATATTTGCAAATCATATCCAACGGAGGATTAGTATCTAAACTAGATAAAGAATTTTCAAATCTCAAAAGTAATAAATAGATCCAATTTGAAAACAGTCAAAAGACATGAACAGACATTTCACCAAAGTATAGTTGGCAAATGAGCAAATGAAAAAGGTGTTCAACATCATTAGCCATTAGGGAAATGCAAGTTAATAATCTGCACAGCTCTCAAAAAAGTGTTTTAAAGAAGTGAAAAGTAGTGTTAACACCAAATGCTGGCAAAGATGCAAAGGAACTGGATCTTTTATGTTGCCAGGAATGAGAAATGGTACAGCCACTCGGGGATAATTGGGCAGTTTCTTAGGAAACCAAATATGCACTTACATATGACCCAGTATTTGCACTTCTGAGCATTTATCTTAGAAATGAAAACTATTCACACAAACCTGTAGGTGACTGTTACTAGGAGTTTTATTTGTAGTAGTTAAAATCTGTAAGTAAAACCCAGATGTCCTTCAACGGGTCATTCAAACTGCAGTATATAGCATGGAATACTTTTTACTGTGCAATAAAACAATGACCTATTGATACCTGCAATGACTCAAGTGCACTTCAAGAGAATTATGCTGAGTGAAAAAATCCAATCTCAAAAGGTCATATACTGTATGATTACATCTATATAATATTCTAAAATGACAAAAGTATAGAGATGAAAAACAGATTACTGGTTGCCAGAGGTTGGGGATGGTGAGAGGGAGCTGGGGAAGAGGGAGGGGTAGCCCTTGGGAAGGTCTTGGTGGTGTTGGAACAGTTGTGTCTGTTGATTGTGATGGTGGTTACACAAATCCACACTCAATAAAACTGTGTGGAAGTGTACACACACTTGTACCAATGTCAGCTTCCTGATTTTTTTAACTATAATTATGTAAGATGTACCCATTGGGGGACACTTGTTGAAGGGTATTGTCTTTGCAACTTTCTGTGAATCTATAAATTCAAAATAAAAGGCAAATGAAAACTAAAGAGCCATACCAATTGCAGTGTGTGAAACTGATTTGGAGAAACAAAATTATGAAATATATATTTTAGGGCAGTTGGAAATTTGAATATAATTGGATATCAGATGATGCTAGAGAATTATTGTTAATTTTCCTACCTGTAATGATGGTATTGTTAGTTTGAAGATTATTATTATTAAAGGATGCATTTTGAAGTATTTGGAATGAAGTGGTTTGATGAAGACAACTTAAAAAAATGTTTTTCAGTATGTATAGGCGGGTAAGGCAAACAAAAGTATTACTGAGTACAGAAGGAGGATACAGGCATTCATTGTACTATCCTCTGTACGTTTGATGTTAACAAAATAAAACGTTTGGGGCAAAGTTATCAGGGCCGTCTACAGATTAATGCTTTGTAGCTTCAGGCTGCCGGGTGCACGCCTCGTTGACGTGCCCTTGCCCAGCCTCCGGATGCCCCGTTACCTGGGGCTCAGGGCCACAGCCCACCTGCAGTCCCTCGAGGCGCTTTTGCTCCTATCACTGGTCAGGAGTAATATTGGACACCCAACGAGAAGAGAGCACCTCCGAGATTCCTAGAGAGGCTGGCCTGGCGACTTGGGGAGCCGGAAGCCCATCCCCAGGCACTTCCTGTCCGGTCATTGTTCTCGCGCCGGTAGGCGCCGGGGTCCTTGCCGCCCGCCGTGTTCCAGAGCCGGCGAGCTCCGGCCGGGCCTCTCCGCAGCGCACGGTGAGCTGGGTTGGCGCGGCCTGGGCGTGAACGTGGGGGGCGCGGGAGGGGCCGCCCCTCGCGTCCTCCTCTGGAGGATCCCAGCCCTGTCCGTCCAGGGGCCGCTCGGCACGCCGCCACCTCGGAAACCCGGCTGTCGGCTGCCGAGGGCCTAGCCCGGGGGAGGTTGGACGCGGACCGCCCCAGGAGCCAGGCTGGCCCCGGCAACAGGGCTGCGTGGGGCCTGGAGGTGGAGGAGATGGGTTGCTGCGCTTGGAAATAGGGAAAGGACGTTGAAAGGAAGCCCTTGGTAGGAGTCTGGGGCTGGTGGCCGAGTAGAGTTTGATGAGCAGTCTGATGACACTACACAAGTAGGCAGTCTTGCGTGTACATGGCTGCAACCAGTGTTAAGGGCCTTCCTCCCTGGTAGAATTTAGCTAGTCATGGAAAGAATAATTCTCCAGAATAAAGATTTGTTGCAGGAATGGAAGTATTGCATTACTCAGGAAATGCAATGTATACAATAAGTTGCCATTAAGTTAACGTAGGATAAAGTATATGACCACTTCAGTAGCAGCAAAAGGGGACTTAGTGAAATGTAGCACTTTTTTCCTAATAAGACATATGAAGGGGAGTAGAAAAATTTTCCATTTCTTCATAATCAGCTAAAATGGTAAGGTTATTTTATTCACAAAATTTTAAAAACTCTGTTGACTTGGCTATGATACAGGGGTATTATTAAGTTGGTGGTGGTGGTGTGATTTGGTTCAGTCCTTTTAGAAAACAGTTTGGCAATATGTATTTTCATAAAATCCTTCAACCAGTAATCCATCTATTCTAAAGGGATAATTCGGCAACAGAAAAAAACTATTTGCGTGGAAAAAATCTCATTATTATTAAGAGAAGAAGCTGGAAAAAAGCTGTGGTTAGTAAATATGGGCTGGCTAAGTAAATAGAACATAGCTGTAATTTTGAGTACTGTGCCAGAATGAGGTGGCTCTGTACGCACTTACAGTGAAACATCTACTTGAGACTATTGTGGAATATGGAAACTGAGTTCAAAAAAGCAAACAGTGCAGGTTGCTGAACAATGTACAAGTGTGAGCTGATGTATACTTTGGAAAAATAAACAATTATGTGTGAAGGTGTACATAAACATATGGAAATGCCGAGAAAAGACTGATAACTAATTACTCGGTATGTGTATTGTGCATGTAGGACATATGTTTACTGACTGTTTTCAGTGAGAATGACAGTTAACACCATAGGTTATTGTGTGGCTACTAAAAACAATGTGTGAAGAATGGCAACATGGGAGATCTTTTTGTTTTAATCTTAAGAGTAATACTTGGTCTCACAGGACACTTGGAAGAAATGGGTAAAAATCAAAGAAACAAAAAGAACCTCAATACCACCTGTGATTATGTCACCCAGGGATAACCACTCCTAACATGTTGATGTCTAGACTCCCAGTCTTTTTCTTGAGATTCATTTGTTCATGTTACTGTGTGTCCTTGGTGATGGAAAAAAAAATTCTTTGTGTTGTAATGTCCCTTCTTAAAAAAAAACAAAACATGGTGATAACTGAAAATATGTATCCCCATTGTTACAAAGTTTAAGTCATAATTGTCAGTTTGGTTGGAGGTTTTCCCTTAAAAGAATTATCTTAAATTCTACAACATACGGTGGTTATCTCTGGAGATGAACCAGGGGTGATTTTTCTTAATCATTTTCTGTATTTTTAAAGTTTTTACAATTCACTATATTAACTTTGTAATCAGGTGAAAATCAATAAATATATAAAGTTGTTTGTAATGTGATTGTTATGGGGGTAAATTGCTTATTTATAGTCCAATCCTTTTCATCCTATTAAGGAGTAAAGCAGACCCTGTGCTGTAGTGGCTCCTGCCTGGTCATTGTTGAAATTGGCCCCATGGGCTCGGTGTCATCCAGGCAAACCTCTGTTCTACTGCTAACAGTGTTTTCTGATTTCTCAGTAGACATTACTTACGCTGGCCCTGGAAGGAACTCAAGAAGAAGCTTTTGAGATTTAAAGATTAGATGGGGCTTGACCTCTGCTGGGAAACCCCCAGCTATAGGAGTTCCCCTGCTGAGCAGAGAAGATGACTGCAGAATTGAGAGAGGCCATGGCCCTGGCCCCTTGGGGCCCAGTGACAGTGAAAAAGGAAGAAGAGGAGGAAACCTTCGTGGATCAGGCATCCAGCCAGCAAGGGCACTCTGAGAATATCAAAGTCTGGGCTCCTGAGGAGGGTCCTCAGACAGGCCTTGATGTATCAGAACAGGACGAAAAGGTAAACAAAGGTCTGGGAGGAAGGAGGGAGGAGGGACCTAATGATCTCAAGTGATTTCAGAGAGGACTCTGTCCCTCTGCTTCCACACCTGGAGTCTTGTTTCCTGGCAAAGGCTCTGGCCTCTAGTCCTTTGCAATATTATTGAAACATTCTCTTCTGATTGATGTGACATTCAGTACTTTCTGTAAACCAGTGCTTCTCAAACTGTGGTACCCAGAATTACCTGGGGAGCTTTTTATAAAATCATGATACCCATGCCATACCTCATTCTAATTGAATCAGAGTCTCTGGGGGTGGGACCCAGACATCTGTATTTTTAAGAAACTGTTCAGGTGATTCCAAGCAGGATCTGATAACTCTAACCTGTACTTCTCAAACTTTAATGTACATGGGGATCATGGTGAGGGGGTGGTCTGGTTAAAATGCAGATTCTGATTCAGGACGTCTGTGGTATGGTCTGAGATTCTGCATTTCTCATAAGCTCCCAGGTGATGGTGAGTCTGCTGATCTGCAGACCATGCTGTATACAGTAGTGAGGCTGTATGTTTTCAAACACACACCTTACCATTGCTAGCCAGCTGAGGACTGAGGTTCCCCCAAGCCTCTCTGTACTAGTATGATCAGAACCTTGCATCTTTGATCTTTTAGACCTTAGAAAAGTCTACTCTGGAAGCCTCCCCATGTGCTCTCTTGTCTTGTGATGCACTCACTGGCAAGTCAGGTTTGGGTGCTGGAGTGAGCAGTGAGATGAAATCATAGTGATCGGGAAGAAGGTAGCAGGCTTGCTTCTCTGTCTACCTCACCTTGGGGATTAGGAAAGGCTCTGGCTTCCTTTTCTTTTTTTTTTTTTATGTTTGGTGTTTTCCTTCCTTCCCTCCTTCCTTCCTTCCTTTCGTTTTTATTTTATGACTTCCAAGAATAGATGCTTATATTCTCATCCTCAGAGCCATAATCGTACTACCTCCCACCAACAGTCTCCTCATAAACCCACCTGTGCCTGCTTACCTCTAGGGTCAGAACATGTTCTGGGACATGGCTGTGGTCCTGAAACCAGTGCAGGAGGCACCTGCTGCTTCAGCCGCGGGCAGCTTCCCATTACCCGGGACTCTGGCCAAGAGCGAGCTGCTGGAGACTCATGGGAACATGACCTATCTAGGTAAGGTTCAACCGCCTGGTTCTGAATCTGACCTTTGGGGTTTCTCAAAATCTTTTTGGATTGTGGTGGTCTGGTCTGCTAGCCTGAGCAGCAGAGAGTATTGAAGTGTTGAAAGTGTCAGGGAGCACTGTAGAGAAGAATGCTGAGAGATGCCCATGCATTCGTCGCAGGAAATGGTTTATTTTGCACATGGTCTCAAGACACCAGACAGACACAGGTGAACTCCAAATTCACCTTTTAATCACGTTGATTGTTCAGCAAATTTCCTATCTGTTCATGCATGTAGACACATGTCCTCTTCATATGCTTCATGTTTCTTGTAGGCTGGTGAGCCTACAGGAGAAGCTGCCTGAAGTAGGAAGTGTCACCTTTTGTGGCGATTTTGAGGAAATGCACTGGGAATGTTCTGTTTTCATAGATCTCTGTGCAAATTCAAGAGGATTTTGAAAAAGAATATGAAAAAGAATATATATATATATATATATATATATGTATGTATAACTGAGTCATTAGGCTGTGCACCAGAAACTAGCACAATGTTGTGAATCAACTATACCTAAATTAAAAAAAAAAGATTTTGAGCAGTTGTGTCAGCCATAATGACATTCAAAGCTAGGTCTTCGTGGAGGATACTGATGGCTGCTTACCACCTGGTTCTCTCTAAGCTAGGCCTCAGGATATGTCTGGCTGGCAGCGGCAGAAGCTTGCCTGTGAAGGGGTGACATGTATCTGTGGGTCAGCAGTGTGGCAGCCATGAGTGTGTGCTGCGGAAGCAGCCCCTGGATGACTGCCGAGGCCCCCAGGTGCTCGCATGCTATGAGTCTGCCCGGTACTGGTCTGTGTCTGAATATTCCGAACCCACTCTCCTCCCTAGCCAAGTCCTCAAGCATTTGTGGACCAAGGCACTTTCTTAAACCAGTGTTGTGGGAATGGTTAAGATCGTCACCTTTCATTTTCTTGTCTCTTCTTTAATTCCTTAAACTCTCAGCAGCTTCTTTTCCCCACTTTCTGTTCCATTCTTTCGGGTGCATTCCCCTGTATGTCATTTCTTTTCTGTTTCCTTGCCTTATCAGTCAGTCATTAATAGCCTTAAGTCCAACATCTACACCCATCCACCAGGAATGGCCACTGTTTTCTTTCTCTGCTGGTCCCAGCCGGGGCTGACCTCTCTGCCAGCCATTTCTGTCATAGAAGGCAATGGTTAGAACACCGAGCTCCAGCATTGAGAAGGAGACTCAGGTATAGCTGCTGCCCTGCCTCTGACAGCTCTTTGACCTTGAGCAAGTCCTTTCTCTTTCTGGACGTCCATTCCTGTTCTGTAAACTGGGCTGCATTCATTCCAAAAGTACAGGATTTGTTGGGGGCCTGCTTCCTGTGCTCTGGGTAGTGTGAAAGGTGCCAGGGATACAGCAGGGAATGAGAACAGCCTTGCTCTTTTTTAGCTCCCATGCAAGTGAATGAGAATAGTTTCATCTTGATGATAAAATTGTATAATATACATGAAAGTCTTTGGGAAATTTTGATGGGTTACTGGGTTAATGTCTGAGTTTTATTTGCACTTTCATATGTATTAATTAATATTGAATTTATCAAAATGTATTCATTTAAAATCAAGTTTTTAGACAATTTTTAAAATTTCCTTTATACATCTAGAAAAATTCAGAATATTGCATACACAAAAGGTGTTTTTACATAACAACCAGGAAAGGAAGTGTGAAGAGGCAGTAGGGGAAAGAGGTAACAGGGAGGAAGTAAGATAAGAAAGAAGACAGAAGAGCAGTTATACTACAGGCAGAAAAATGGAAGAGATTAAAAAATCAGAGCAATAAGAATGAAAATAACCAGAGAAAGATTTGCCTTTCGGGTTTTTTTGTTTTTGTCACATTCAGGGCTCTGCTGTACCCAGTGCTCAGGCATTCCCCTTCTCTGACGCCGGCCTTCTTTCTGAATGGTTGTGATGGAGTTGCATGTAGCCATAACGTTAGCCAAGCAACCAGACTGGGGCGTTCTCCTTGCCCGGTATTGCTTTGTACCACCTGACATTCCTGTAGCACCCACTCGTCTTAATGGCTGGAGAGTTGCCCTGGCCTGTGCCAGTGGGACGTCTGGATGCTGGATTCCCCTATGCAGTTGCCGCGTGACCTGCAGCTTACAGCTTTACCGCTCACACCACCAGTGGGAATCCCTCCCTCCTGTGCAGGCTTGCCTCCCACTCCTGCTGGCCCTCATTTCACTTGCTGTGTTATCTGACTAGTTTTTCGGAGCTTAGTTTTAATTCAGAAACACCTGTCAAGGGTTCACTACCAATGCTGGGCTGTGTGGGTGCACACTCTGGGGTCAAGGGTGGTGGGGGTGGGACATAAAGAATTATGATGTTACTGACGGCAGGACCACTTGTTGATACCAGTAGGGTTCTGAGGCAGTGTGGAGCAGCCAGAGACTAGTCAGAGTTCTAAAACTTCAGGCTGTTTTGGTGCTCTTACGATGTTTTTAGGCTTTATGGAGTGGGTTGTGCTGTGTCTCAAACTTAGCTCAAAAAGATCAGCTTTCCTTGGCACAGAGGGTAAGCTGTGTACTCTGTTCCTGTCCTTCTTTAGTCCTTTGTAGTGCTGCCGTCTGTCACTCTTGCAGCTTCCATCTCCTAAGGTTCATCTTCCCGTCTTTGACCCATGGCTCCACTGGTCAGGCTGAAAGTCGCTGCAGACACTCAGAGCCACTTGCTGTGCCCCGTGGCTGTTCTCAGCAACTGACATAGAGTAAGTCAGCTAGTCCTCTCATGGGCTTGTGAGGTAGAGACTGTTATCGTCCCTGTTTTAGAGATGAGGAAACTGAGGCACAGAGAAGTTAAGTTACTAGCCCAACATCACACAGCGGGTAAGTGGCAGAGCAGGGGCTTGAAACCAGGCAGTCTGGCTCCAGAATCCATGTTCTTAACGTCTGTGCTGCACAATCTCTCAGTGTTCTGGATACTTTGGGCTGCTGAGGCCCTCTTGGCATCCAGTGAGACCCCCTTCTGTCCACGCTTGTCTTTTCTTTGGTATCCATACACAAAAGCCTAAGTCTCCTAGATCTTCTTTCACAGGAAAGGAATGCCCCTAATCAGTGGTGGGTTGTAAGCAATTCCACACTAGGTGGCTGAGGTAAGAAGGCAAGCCTGGGGGAGACTGGTGTCCTTCAGAACCAGTTTTTATTGTGAGATTAGCCATTGGGGATAGGAGGAGATCTGCCTGGAGGTGATGTCCCTGTCCTGAAGCAGTGGGTTAAATGTCTAATAGAAGTAGGTGGGTGTGCGGGAAAGGCCATGAGTCAGTGAGTTCTGCTCCAGGTGCAGGGAGGGCACAGAAGAGAGGTGACATTTGAGGAGTTCTTTCCTTTGACGAAGCTGCTTTGCAGGGGCACTAAGTCACATGCTCCCCGGCCTTTATGACTGGGTGATCCTGTGTTTTTTCCAGGCCAGAAAATTCTGACATTTATATATACTGTCTGTTGTTTCAGCTGCTGAAACCAAGAACCCACAGTTACTGGTTCCAAAAACCGAGATATGTGATGAAGCAGAAAAACCCTTCATAATACCAGGAAGAATCCAGAAAGTCGAGCTTCAAGGACCTGAGTTAGGAGAAGCCTGCGAAAAAGGGAACACGTTAAAGAGGCAGAGAATAAAGAGGGAAAAGAAAGATTTCAGACAAGTGGCAGTGAAGGACTGTCAAGTACCTGAAAACATCAAAGAAGAGGAAGACCAGAAATGTCACAGATCTGAGGAGAGTTACAGCCCTAGTTCTGGCTCGGTTAAGAACCAGAAAAGCCAGCCTGGGCAGAAGCCTTTCACATGTAGCGTGTGTGGGAAAGGCTTTAGTCAGAGCGCAAACCTCGTAGTGCATCAGCGAATCCACACAGGGGAGAAACCCTTCGAATGTCACGAGTGTGGAAAGGCCTTCATCCAGAGCGCAAACCTGGTCGTGCACCAGCGAATCCACACAGGACAGAAACCTTACGTTTGTGCCAAATGTGGGAAAGCCTTCACTCAGAGTTCAAATCTGACTGTACATCAAAAAATCCACTCCTTAGAAAAGAACTTCAAGTGCAGTGAATGCGAGAAAGCCTTCAGTTACAGCTCACAGCTTGCTCGGCACCAGAAAGTCCACATTACTGAAAAATGCTACGAATGTAACGAGTGTGGGAAAACGTTCACTCGGAGCTCCAACCTCATCGTCCACCAGAGGATCCACACAGGGGAGAAGCCCTTTGCCTGTAATGACTGCGGCAAGGCCTTCACCCAGAGTGCAAATCTCATCGTGCACCAGCGAAGCCATACTGGCGAGAAGCCGTACGAGTGCAAGGAGTGCGGAAAAGCCTTCAGCTGTTTTTCACACCTGATTGTGCACCAGCGCATCCACACTGCGGAGAAACCTTACGACTGCAGCGAGTGCGGGAAAGCCTTCAGTCAGCTCTCTTGCCTCATCGTGCACCAGCGGATTCACAGTGGGGACCTCCCTTACGTGTGTAACGAGTGCGGCAAGGCCTTCACCTGCAGCTCGTACCTGCTCATTCACCAGCGGATCCACAACGGGGAGAAACCGTACACGTGCAGCGAGTGCGGCAAGGCCTTCCGGCAGAGGTCGAGCCTGACCGTGCACCAGAGGACCCACACCGGGGAGAAGCCCTACGAGTGCGCCAGGTGCGGCGCGGCCTTCATCTCCAACTCGCACCTCATGCGGCACCACAGGACCCACCTTGTCGAGAGCACGTAGAGGCCGAGGAAGACGCCCAGGCGCCGATCGGAGCCTGCCCCGCCGCCGGTCAGACACCGCTTTGCCGTTTCCTTCCGCCTTTGCGAAGATGAGGCCAGCTGTGTCCGTAAACGTAGCAGTTTTCAGGAGTGCGGCACAAAGCACAAGGCAAGCATCTCAGCTACAGAAAATGAAAACGAAGGCCTCGCGGCAAGGATTTGGTTCTTAACTGTGCCCTCGGTGGTCACGTGGTCTGAGGTGGAACGTGGCTTTCTTAGAAATGGTCATACAGAGCTCAGCGATAAAGGTATTTTTCACTTAATTTTGTTTTGTAAAGTTCTGGTAATGTCTTTGAGCGACGGGCAGGTTCCTGGTGTGGGTCAGCCTGATGGATCCAGAGCTTTGAACCTTGTGTTCCAGTGTTGGGGCTTAAGCAGTGACTAGTTACGGAAACCACTTCGGGTAGCAATTCACCAACAACTCACCTATGAACATTTATAAGCTTTCCATTCCCTAGGTAATTAAAAAAACAAAACAAAACCCTACAGTCTTCTGCTTCTAAAATGGATGGAAGTAGAAAACAGCCGTTCCTCTCATTGCCCGGACCTTGTGACCGTTGGTGTGGTAAAGTTCTTGGGACCTCGGACGATTCTCTTCTGACCGTTTCCTGCTGCCTGCCCGAGCACGTGAGGACTGATGGAGACAGCACGCTGGGGCCGCTAATGCCTCTGGGCTGTGCCCCATTGCCAAGATCAACAACTTCTAGTGACTTACGCCCAGTTGCCGTTGCATCCCATTCTTATGAGAGGCTGCTAACAGCCCCCTCCCAGACAGGGGAGTCTGAGAATAAAGCTCCCTGGAGGCATGCCCACGTTGTCTCTGCTCTCGTCCGGCGCCAGCCCAGCCGGGAGGGCGCAGCTTGGGTGTCACTGTCACTTTCTGGATGGGCTTCAGAAGGAGTGGTGGAGCCCATCTGCTTCTGAGAGGACCGAAGAGGGAGATGAAAGGCGAGGGAGGAGGCAGGCTGGGAGTCCTAAGGTCTTTGTTGTTTTTTTTTAAAGTTCAGAGGTATTGAAATATGAAAACTTTTAGAAGGATGAAGAAAGTGGCTGAGGTAAGATACCTGTGTTACCATTGAGCCTTTACTCCCGGAAAAACAGTTTCTAAAACTATGCAATAGGTAGAGTTGTGGAATGACACTGCCTTGTATTTATACAGAACTGGGTTCCTGGTCTGTGCGCCTTCACGTGTGGAGTCGTGGTTCCCGGCACTTACCTCCTGCTTTCACATAGATCGTTTCCCTAATCCCTGTAACGGTGGAAGAGGTGTTTGCCCTTTTTACCAGAGAGAGGTCATTTAACACAGGACCGAGGAGGAAGTGACAGCCTGTACTCAGACCCAGGTCCTAAACCAGGTTCCCTTTGTTCTGCCATGTTCATGCCGTGTCCCACCACCCTCTGTGCCGGATCCATGGGAGAGCCTGAGAAAGGGGTATACAGTCTCGTTTTTAGGTGAGGAAGCTGAGGTGACAGATTCTGGGGTGTGCCTTAGGCAGTGTGACCAGCAAGCAGCAAACCTAAGACTGGGGTTTGAGTCTCCTGATTTCTGGGTCTGTCTCCACTCGGCTCTCGTCATGTAAGTGTTTATTGTAACGTGGTGTCTGGTGAAGGCAGTTGTGCATAACAAGTCCATGCATTTATTGTCTCATTTCTACAAGACTGTTAATTAACATGGTGTTGTGTAGTTTACAGAGCACTTTCACATACAGAAGGCATACACAAGAAAGCTTCGTCACCTTTTTTCCCCTTTAACCATAGCCTTTCATCAAAACGTATGTGACTTCTTTTCCCATTTTCACTCCAAATCATGTGGACATACAGAAAAGTCAGGATTCAAAAGTAAGAATGGAAAATGCTCACGCCCTCACAGACCCTGGTCGTGACTCTTCCTGTCCCCCTGACTGGGAGTGGAGGGGCCCAAAGATAACACCACATGTCTCTTCTGAGATTAGTGTAACAAGTTAGGTTTCCCCCTGTGTGGTCAGGAGGCTCAGAAGAGAGGGAGAGCAGGTCTGAAGATTTGGGATCTGTGACCTTGGCCCATGCTTTCCTGAAACGTATCAGCTAGGACCTGTGACCATTAAGACGGTTAAACTGTTCAAGCTTCATGTTGTATACTCATCCACATAATGGAATACTCAGCCATGGATGGTGGCGATCTCCTGGCTGAAGATTTCCATTCATAGGGAGTTCAGAAGAGCCAGGTGATTATGATGGAAAGCGGGGTTTGGGCATCACTGACCCAACCTTGCAGTAAAGCAGTGGCTTTTTAACCTTGGCTGCATGTTAGAGTCATCTAGGACACTTGAAAATTTTTCCATTCCCAGGCCCCAGTGTTTTTTTAAATCTGTAGAAGACCCAGTGTGCATCCAGCTTACGGAGCCACTGCAGTCTGAAACCTGCGGGCCGCAAATGTGTGTGACCAGAGGCTGGGGGCCTCCAGTGTAAAGATCCGGGTGTGTGGGGTATCGGGGCAGGTTCGGTATTGGCTGCTCTGCATCCTCCTTTGCTGCTCACGACGCTTGGCTGCTAGGACTCTGTAACCTAACTTACTTTATTTGTATTTTAGGTGAATATACCAAACATTTTATTTATATAAGCAAACCAAGTTCTACATAACATGCTCTTATTTTCCTCATTCAACAAAGTGGCTTTTTACATTTCTGCTTGTATTTCATCTCCATATCTGGGTTTCTGCAAATCTGCACCCAGCTTCAGGACCCCTGTCCTGCACAAATCATGGGAGCCTAGTAGATGGTTAGACAGGTCAGATCCTTCTCCAACTCATAACAGCTCTCTCTCGCAATTCCATCTCAGCCCTCAAAATAAATTACCACCCACGTGTTTCTGTAGGGCTTCTGATGGGAGAGGAGCAGCTACCCCTTGTTGTCAGATTTGGCTTAGGTTTTCCTTTTCTTTGGGGTCACCTCCCTTCTTTCTGGGCTGGGCTGGCTAGAAATGGATGGGAACTCTGAAGCCCCATCTTCTTAAGTCACCAAGAGCTATCAGACTTGAAGCTACATTACGGACAGAACCAAGAAGTCTGTTTTTACCCTCGAATGAGACCAACAGAGGTGTGTTAAGTGGAGCACAAGGGTGTGAAGGTGATGATGAAATCACGTGTAGGTGTTTTGGGAGCATGGGGGAGAGGTTTGCCATCAACACCCCCACCCAACACAGCTGGCCGTGGACTCCTCAGGAGGCTGGTCGTTCCTCTGCTCTGGGTCCCCTCCCTTCCCTCGGCAGTCGTCCTTCCCCCGCTTCTGTCACTTCTCCACTTGTGTGCCTGATCTTCCTGGGGTCGCAGCCCCTCTGAGAGTCTGATGGAGGTGGTGGGTCCCCTTCAGGAGAAGCACGGTGCTCGGGCAGATCCGTGCTCGTTTGTGGGGGCGTATACGCTCCCTGAGGCCGCTGCACGGAGCCTGTGGAGCCGCACCCGCCGCCTGGGGCTGCACTGCCGCTTGCCTGCACTGCTGCAAAATCGTGACTTAAAAAACGAGGTCAGTCTATGGAATCTCTAAAGATGTTGCTCAGACTCCTAACCTTTTAAACCTTGCTTCTCCGGGATTCCCTCCCTCAGCACGGACGGCATTATCCAGCACTCAGAGACCCAGGAGGCATTTCTGGCTTCCCAGGTATGGTGCATCGATTACAGAAACAGCGATTGTGTACTCCCTCTGCGGCAAACATGGTTCTAGATCCTGGGGTGCCAGAGCAAACAAGGTCTACCATACCCTCTTCTCATGTCTCTTACAGGACAACTGTCTGGATTCCTTAACACGATCTGCTAAGCTCTTCACGGTCTCTTTCCAGCCTCCTGGCTTTCCTTCCCTCGCAGCTTTCCCCGCAGCTGGGGGCCTGCGCTGGCTCGTCTCTGTGCCTTCGCTCACAGCGTCCCTGGTGCCTGTGATGCCTCGCCACCACTCCCCACGCAGCCCGGCTGCTTTGCCTGACTTTTGGTTTTGTTAAGATTTGGCTCAAGCCCATCTCTGGGAAACATCTGACTGCCCTGTGGCCAAGACGTATGTTTGGAAGTACAGACGCGTGTGATCTGTGTATCCAGAGTTTTACTTTATGCTTTAAAGTGAAAAAAAACCTGGATTCAGAATTGTGTATATACTACAGTTCTCATATAATGTTGTTACATATACTATATACTATTTAAAAAGTATATAGATAAATTACCTGAAGGAAATATAAGCAAATGTTATAAATGGTCAAGTGACTTGTTCACAGCCATACAAATGGTAAACTGCAGAGCTTGGGCTCAAACCCAGGTCCTAGGGATACTGGAATTGTGGGTGATTAAGTGTTTTTTTAAAAGTAATTTCCATATTTTTTATAAGGCAAAAAAATTTTATCATCAGGAAAAATAAATTATTTATTATAATTACAAATTTAGTTTTGCTGTGTTAACTATAAGCCGTGTCTCAGTTCTCCGTTTGTAGACTGTGGGGCGCACTCTCCTTCTGTCTCCTCCCCTTTTCCACCTCTGCCTCTGACAGTGTCCAGTCTAATCATTCCTGCATTCTGCCCTGTAACCAGTGTTTGATGCTTTGTTTATCGACTTGTTCTGAAAGTTGAAATAAACAGCACGAATGTTATTACGACTGTGTAAATGTTCACTGCAGATCCAAGTGGTTTATTGCGATTACGTATCCTTTTTGGAGCGGTATTTTGTTTTTACTGAAGTTTCCAGTTGTCTTTCTTTTCCCCTTGTACCTGTTGCTTTTAACGCAGCCTCAGTTATTTGCAAATTCTCCATCCAGTTGGATACTCCTTGAGTCCCCTTTTTCCTGTCTGTTTCCCTTCCAGAGACCTGCAGCCTCCTGCTCCAGTCTGTCCTTGAGGTTCTTTCTGCCTGCCTTTCAGTCGTTAACGCTGTGCTCCAGTGCGTCCTAAATTCCCTGGCTTCCTCTTTGTCTGTTTACTCTCTCGTTTCACTGCAGCACTTCAAGTCACTTCCCAAGAAAGAGTACGTGGAAGGCAAAAGTTTCGAGTGCTTATGTCTAAATCAACTTTCTCTGCCCTCACACCTGACTGGTAGTTTGATTGGCTCTGGAATTCTAGGTTGAAAAATTTCCCCCAAAGTTGGTAGACCTTGCTTCACTGACTTGCAGCATCCACCGTTGCTAATGAGATGTCTGATTCCAGTCTGATTCTGATTTCTTTGACGATCCATAAATAGAATTTACATTACTGCGCTCTGCTTCCCCACCCCTTGGAAGCTTTTAAAGTCCCCTCTTTACCCTTGGTGCACTCTCTTCCCCAGTGTGCTCAGTGGGATTTTCCAGTCCAGCAACTCAGGTACTTCTACTCTTGGAAATGTTCTTGTTGTTATGTGACACTTACCCTTTTTTTTTTTTCTATTTTTGCTTTTTCTGGAATTCTTGTCAGTTAAACGTTGGGCCTTCTGGTTTGATCCTCAGTTACTTTCTCTGTTACTTCCATTTCCTCATCTCATGCCATTTTCTGGGAGAGTTCCCTGGTTATTTTTCAACCTCTCCAGTGAATTTTTTATGTTGGCAGTTTAATTTCTAAGAGCCTTTTCTTGTTTTCAGTTTGTTTGTTGTCTATGGCACACTATCCTCATTTTAGAGACATCTCTCCAACCTGACTATTGTAAGGGTTTTCCTAAAAGTCTCTTCTGTCACCTGAATTGTCATATCACCTTCATTCCCCTGGCCTGGGTCCTTTTTTCTCTTGGTTTATCTTGTTTCTCTCTTTAGAGACTTGCCTCAAATGTGTTGTGATCGTTACTGACACACGCACACTCACAGATACACACGTGCATATATGTATACCGGGGTGTGGGGGAGGCGTTGGGATTGGCTCAGTAAAAGGCTTCCCTCTGGAGTGGGTTGGTGGTGAGCGGGCTGTTTGCCTGGAGACCTCTCAATGCCAGAATGCAGAGATCGTTTGGCTGGGGCGCTTGTATTTTTTGAGCAAAAGATTCTCTGATGTTTTTGTCTGGGGTTTGGATGATGTAGGTGCTTCTCCGGGGGGGGGGGGGTGACGGGAATCAAGTGCTATGACAGGCTTGCAGTTACTGCCCTATTTTTAGCCCCCCTTGCCCCCTCATCGCACCTGGGGTTTCCGGGTCCCAGGTCGGCTGGAGTTTGGGAGGTAGTTCAGCTCCCTCCTTCCACTGTGTTGCCCTCAGCGGGTGTTTCAGTCTGTTCCTCCCTCCACCCAGCTTTCTCAGTTACCATTTCATCCATTTTCCATCTTCTAGAAATTTGTTCCCTTTAAGCCTTCACTGTTATTTATGTGTTTTAAACCATTTTAATCCATTATTGTTTCAGGGGAAGCTAAACGATTTTAAAAAGAATGTTGATGTCCTTTGACACAGTGGCACCACTTCTAGAAAGCACTCCTAAAAATGAGTATTTTTGACGACAATTTATATACTAGTCAATGTTAATATTTTACCAAAAAATGGAAACAGCCCCCAGTGACTAACAATAGAGGAATGATTACACCACAGTTGATGGAATATTAGGCACCCACTAAAAATCATAATTTAAAGAATATTTAGTGATATGATAAAATGTTCACAATACTATTAAATGAAAAATGCAAAATACAAAATGCAGTGGTGTGTGCAGAGAGCCCGGTTTCCTTAAATGCACATGCACAGAAGAGACGGCAGGAAATAAGTACATCAGGTGTTAATAGTGGTTCCATTTTCTTGCATTATCTCCATTTTCTACAATGAGCCTCAATTACTTTTATGATCAGGAAGGGAAGAGTTAATAAAAGAAAGAGATCATGGCTTGTTCGGAATGGTATGACTTTTCTTGTGGAGTGTGGAAGGGTCGGGGGGTTGGGGCAGCAGAAGAAGGGTCTGGGGAAATAAAGCACCCAGTTAGCAAGGCCCAAATGCCAGGCAGAGAAATTCAGCTGAGAAATATATGTAACCCCAGTGCTGGTGACAGAGTTGTGGCTGGAGTGTGGCGGCTCAGCTGGTCAGGGGAGAAAGGATCCTCGCGACCATACAGACAGCTTTCATCAGAGTCCAAGAAAGACCGTGGGATTCTGACTCCGGCATGGGCAGCGGCCAGAGGAGAAGGGCTGGGTAAGAGAAGGGCCAGGAATGACCAGGCCTTCGGGGCAGGGAAAATCAGGCAGCAAATTCCCAAGCCAGAAACTCAGGCTTCCAAACCCTGCGAGACCTGCCCTGTGACAAAGGGGGCCTGGCCCAGGCCTCTCTGGGCCTCTCTGGGCCTCCCTGGGCCTGCTCTGTGGCTGGCACTCCTGCAGTGTTGGAAAGGGGGCGGGGGAGGCCGGCTACCAGGCTGGCTCCCCAAGTTCGCCTGCTGGGCCAGTAGCAAGGCTGTAACTGCTCCCTGGTTGAGGAGTTCCTGTGTGCCAGACACCATGATGAGCGCCAGATGTTTTTTATCTCATTTAATTCTTGCCCAAGGCGGAAAGCTCTCTTATCTTCATTTTCAAAGTCAGCAGTCACAGTCAGGATTAGAATAACTGAGGCCAAAGCTCGAGCTCCTTCCCCAGTGTGCCCCAGGAACCCCTCTCCTCATCTGAAAGTGCTTTTTTTTTTTTTAAACCTGGCACTAAGCTCTAGGTTCACTTTTTTAAAGGACTATTTATTTACTTATTTTATCATTCCATTTATTTTTATTCTTTTCAGGAGGGGCAAGGTAATTAGGTTTATTTATTTACTTATTTTTAATGGAGGTTCTGGGATTGAACCCTGGACCTCATGCATGCTAAGTGTACACTCTACTATGCTCTCGCCCTTAAAAGTGTGTTGTTAAATTAGAAGAGTGCTTGCCTGTGGTTAAAAATTTCAGTGGTACCGAAGCAAACAGTGAAGAGGTCCTCTCTCTTCCAGACTACCCCAGATAGGAGCTTCCCAGAGATAACTGTTGTCAATGCCTTGAGGGTTCTTCCAGACATGCATTTACAATCACGCATTCCCCTTTAAAACACACAACACACATGAGCTTAGGATACACACTGTCTATACTTTTATTTTTCACTTAGTGCGTCTTGGAGATGGTTCATGTTTAGCCTGTAAGATCTATCTCATTCTTTTTTTCCACTGCTGTGTGATATTCTATTGTATGGATGTACCATGATTCATGTGGCAAGTGCCCTGTTGGTGGCCACACAGGTTCTTTTCTATCTTTTGCTGTTCCAATGCCTTGCTGAATATTCCAGCACACTGTCCCTGATATGTGTACAACTTTGTCTGCAGGATAAATTGATACCGGGTAGGTGCATTTGATATTTGGATAGAAATTGCAAATGCAATTTCCCAGTATGTGTATGAAAATGCCCATTTCCCCGAATCCTCCATAAAACTACACTTTATCTTTTCTGATCTGGTAAAGGAAAAATGCTCTCATGTTTTAATTTGCATTCAGTTATGAGTGAAACTATATATCACGTCTTGTGTTCAAAAGCCATGTGTATTTCCTTTTTGTGTGAATTGCTTGTTCATGTTCTTTAAGCAGTCTTTCTGTTGGGTTGTTGACCCTCTTAAGAATTTATTTCTACCAGTTCTGTACTAAAGAAATTACTCTTCCCAGACGCTATATGTATTGCAGATATTTCCCCCAGTTTATAGTTAGTCCTTTTGAAGGAGAATTAATAAAATGGCCACACTTAGGCTAACAGATTGCTCACTCTTACGCTTGCTCTTAAACTGGTCAACTAACCTGACTGACCAGTTGCTATTCACGGCCCCAGGACTGTTGCTAAAATGAAGCTATTAATTTTACTGTCCCTGCGTTATTCCAGTAATCAAGAGTAATAATCATACTTGGTTTCTGAGTTGTGCTCCAGGGAGAAGGTCACAGGACTGTAACCTTACAAAATAGCCTGAATTACCAAGAAGACCAGGCCATGGGCTCTTACAAGATAAAGAGATTGAAAGAGTGACAGCCACTAGCCTCTGTCAAATTGGTCACCTGGAGACATCATGAGACCACTCTAAGTCTTATGACAAGAAAATTATTTAGCTGATTGTTATCGATGCATTACTGTTTGAGCCATGGCTATGTAATCACCCTGCCCCAGCCCCAAGATGGGCTCACAGTTTTGAAGGCACCAGCCTGCTGTGAGTCCCTGGTGCCTGGCGAAGCAATAAAGCTGCCTCTTTCTTCTAAGCTCTAAGACCCTGTCTCTGTGTTTCAGTTTGGCTCATCAAGGACGGTGGCCAGTCTTTTGGCAACAAATTTATGGCACCCAATGTGAGGTGTGAGACCACCCTCTTCTAAGAGGAGCTTCAGGTTCCACCGTGTTGCTGGGCCAACAAGACTCAAACGACTGCCCTTCCATGCTGACGGGAGGTATGATGGAGAATGGAGCCCAGCAGCTGCCAGGGCCAGTTTTGCTCTGGGGATCCTTTCGTCCTCTGCCCTTCCACCCATCAGCGGACTGCAGTTGCCCTAACTGACTCCTTGGAGGGAGAAAAGATGGCTCTGTTTCTTCTGAAACGTCACATCCAATGGGCAGGCCTAGGGTAAGTTCCCCGTGACGACCGAGGCCCCTTGACCTCCCATTGGGAGTTCTCTAGTTGGACAGGTGGGGAACTCCCATCCGAATCTGAAGCACAACGGGTACCCACCTGTTACGGAGATTTCGGGCTAAGAAAACTTGGAAGCGGAAGTAAAACCTGAATCTGGGTTTTTTTGTTTTTTGTTTTTTGTTTTTTGTTTTTTGTATATGGCCTAACCTGACATTTGTAAGTCTCTGCTGCCATCTGCTGACAAAGTTATGACATTACAATATGAAATTTGTATTCTCGTATTTGAAGTAAGTTACTTTGAGGGGCGTGCCATCTATTCCATCCAATAGCCCATTGGGTAGGATTTTGAATGTCTGGTCAAATTATAGTTATCCACCAATGACTAAGAAAAAGAATGGTTTCAGGGGCCACTCAGAAGGAGGCCCAACGTCTAAACCAAGGAAACACACAAATGCCCACGATAGACAATACGTCCTAGCTAGCCTCAGAAAGGGCTTCCCAAAACAGACTACCTTTGACAAGGTGCAAGCCCTGAAACAGGAACCAACAGAAAGCCCGTCCACTTTTCTGGAACAGATCCTTCAGGCTTATGGAAAGTGCAGCACCGTAATCCTGATGATCCTGAAGATGCACGCGTGGTAACTGTGACTTCCATCAGCCAGAGCTCAGGTGGTATAAAGCATAAATTAAACAAGATTGAAGGAGCAGTAGCCAAAAGCCCCAGAGAATTATTGGACATTGCCTTTATGGTTTATAATGCTAGAGAAGAGAGAAACAGAAAGCCAGTTAACACCATAATAGCAACTCACCCAGGGGCCTTTAGTCAATGAAAGCCCAAAGGGCAAGAGGGAGATAAGAAAAAGCCAGCCGTGACTATTAATCAGTGTGTCTACTGCAAAGAGGAGGGACACTGCAGAGAGGATTGCACCAAACTAAAATCAAAGAAAGAAAAGGAAGAACGAGCACCTTCCAATGTACTGATCACCCAAGGAACCATAGATGAGGAAGGTAATGGTTGATGGGGCCTGGGGCTCTTAGCATGTTAAAGACCCCCGTAACAATTGCCACCCAAGAGCCTTGGGTACAACCATCTTTAATGAAATATTGACTCTAGATCTTAGAAATCTACACCTGAATCAAAGAGTCCTCTTAAAATATGTGGATGATTTGTTAATTACAAGCTCAGCCCTTGATTATTGTAAGGAAAACACAGTAACTGCTTAATCACTTGGCTTGGTGTCGATGTAAAGTTTTCCCCAATAAAGCCCAAGTTTGCTAGAAGCAAGTAACCTATGTAGGATTCTGGATAGCCTAAGGAACTTGCAGTTTCTTACACGACCACAAGATGGCAGTCTGCACCTAACAAAAAACAGTTGCAGGGCTTCTTGAGAATGGCCGGATTTTCCAGGGTTTCGATTCCTTATTTCGGATGGATTCCGGAACGCGCAATCTCTTACACGACCACAAGATGGCAGCCTGCACCTAACAAAAAAAGCTGCAGGGCTTCTTGAGAGGGGTCGGATTTTGTGCGGTTGGGATACCTTATATCAGATGGGTTCCAGATAGCCTAAGAAACTTGCAGTCTCTTACACGACCACAGAATGGAAGTCTGCACCTAACAAAAAAAAGTTGCAGGGCTTCTTGAGAGGGGTCGGATTATGTAGGGTTTGGATACCTTATTTCGGATTGATTACGGAACACGCGATCTCTTATATGACCACAAGATGGCAGTCTGCACCTAACAAAAAACAGTTGCGGGGCTTCTTGCCAATGGCCAGATTTTGTAGAATTTTGATACCTTAGTTTGGACTGATAGCCAAACCCCTTTACGACGCTCTAAAAGGCACAGACACAGAACCTTTGGTATGGACGGGGGAATGGCAGCAGGTGTTCACCACTCTTAAGACTCGATTGCTCTCAGCTCCAGTGTTGGGGTTGCCAGACCTAAAAGAGGAATTCAAGCTATAGGTGCATGAGCAGCAGAGGATAGTACTGGGTGTCTTAATCCAGATGCTTCGGACTATCCCTCGCCCAGTTGCACATCTGTCCAAGCAACTGGACAATACAGCGAAAGGATGGCCCCCATGCTTTCAAGCAGTTGCAGCCCCTGTGACTTGCTGCAGGAAGTGGAAAAGTTCACCCTAGACAGACCATAGTAATCTACGTGCCTCATCAGATCACTGTGTTACTACAGCAGAAAGGGGATATTGGCTCCCCACAGGAAGAATGGGAAAATATCAAGCAACTTTACTAGATAACCTAACCATCACTTTAAGAACAGTGACGACTTTAAACCCAGCCACCCTGCTACCGACATGCACTGCAGAACCTGAAAACAACAAATTAAATCATGACTGCCTAGAAACTAGAAACTGTTTATTCAAGCAGATTAAATTTAAAGGACAAGCCTCTCCCGGAACCTGACTGGAAACTATTTACAGACAAGAGCAGCTACATAAAAAATGGACAATGTAAAGCTGGTAACGTGGTAACCACTGAGTTCCAGATGACAGAGGCTTTTGCACTCCCCCCACTCACCTCTGCCCAAAAGGCTGAACTTATAGCACTAACCCGGGCCCTCCAAATATCAAAAGGAAGAAGGGTTAATATTCACACGGACTCTAAATATGCATTTATGGTGGTCCATGCTCATGGGGAAATTTGGAAGAGAAGTCTCTTAACCTCAGGAAATAAATAAATGAAACACCCTAAGGACATATTGGCCCTCTTACAGGCAATAACTGAACCAGAGGCTGTTTCTGTAATGCACTGCCCATTAATTTTTAAATTCTAAAAACATCATCATGAAAAAGGTACTAGCATTAACCCATTCTACAGATGGGAAAACTGAGGCACAGAGAAGTCAAGTAACTGCTGTGGCAGAGGCAGCATTTGACCTCTGGCAGTCTGGCCCCAGATACCACATTCTTGGCCCCAGTGCTATGTTGCTGCTGCTGCTTTTTGTGTGTGTGTGTGGGGGGGGGGTAATTCGGTTTACTTATTCTTAGAGAGGGTGCTGGGACTGAGCCCAGGGCTTCATGCATGCTAAGCATGCGGTCTACCACCTTGAGCTATACGCTCCCCCTGTTGCTTCTTTAAAGGGAGTTGTTCATTGGGTTTCCTCAAATCTCAATATAGTCTCGTTTCCCATCTAGAATATAAAGATGATTCTGTTTTCATTTTTGCTACATATTATTTATTTTGATCTCCTATGCCTTGTTCAGATATTGTTACCAAAATTGAAAAGAAGCAAACGAATCTGGAAAGAGAATTCTTTGGAAAACTCCAGGGCGAGATTCCAGAGGGCTGGGCATTGGGGAAGCCAGACTAGAGGGGAGCTGGACAGCAGGGAATTCTGAATAGCCTGCAGACAAGTCAGTGAGGAGAGACTTGTCAATGACCTTTTATCAAGGGCAATCTTTAATTCAAAAGGAATTCAATTCAGGAACACATTGATTTAATGTATATATACTCTTTGTGACTGATGCCATGGATTGAGTTGTGTAAAGACGGGTGCTGTAACTCTGTTCTTTTCATCTCTTTTCAAGCACCTCTCTTGTGAACCACCATCCAGCCCCCTGGTCAGAGCCCAGTGTTGAGGTCAAGGTTCTTAATCAGGAGCTATTTTCAGCTGATGGAATATACTAGTCCTTGCTAAGATGGCCCATTCTGACTCCTACTCAGCACTCTTTCCAACTGTAACTCCCCCATCTACAGTTTTCCCGAGGCATGAGGTGGTCACTGTGTTCAGGCCCAAGGCGGTCTTTCATGGGGTATCATGAACGCCTCTGGGCGTGGAGAGAAACCAGGCCCGCGTCATCGTCTTTGGGACCCCCATCGAGATGCTCCTCCCGATTCCTAGAGAGGCAGCTGAGGGCTGCGCGAGACGGAAGCCGCGGCGCCGTTGGTGACGCACTACCGGCTGCGCCACTGCTCTTCCGGCCCGGGCGAATGAGCCTGGGTTCTCATGTACCGGTGGGACCGTGGTCGCCTCCCCGCGGGGAACCCCCGGACCTCACGGTGAGCGGGCGGGGCCCCAGGGAGGGGAAAGCTACGGCTCCGGCAGCATCTCGGCTGGGGCGGCGGGCACAGGCTTATGAAGGAAGCCTTCCCGGGCCTCTTTCTCCCCGGATAGCTACCTGCGCGTGCGACCCTGAACTCCTGGCTACCCCGGCAGGACAGGACAGGCTTGCAGCTTCAGCACTTCACTCACCAGGGTCTGGCACAGAGGACACGCTTAAGGCAATGGTGGAGTGAATGAATGAATGAGTGAATGAGTGATGGATAAGTGATCAACAGCTAGGACCCGTGTTCGGAAAGGAAATCCTGGGGGCCAGAGTTTTCGGTTTGGATACCAGTTGCTCCCCCCTAACCAGTCCTGCAGCTTAAATTTTTAAAGGGACCGATTTACTAGGAGAAGGCAAATAGTGTAAAGCGCAGTAGCTAGGGAGTCTCGAGACTTGGGTTATAATTCCCCAGGTCTCTTGATCAGAGGCGGTTTCCTGATCTATAAAGTTGAACTGTCACTGCCTTCTTTTATCTACAAAGTTCAATTGACAGCATGTACATGATAGCGCTATGCAAACGTTGATGTCTAATGACAAGAAGTTACTATCCATTACAGGCCTAATAGTACGCAACTTAGGGGCGGGGCTACAGAGTGAGTGACGTCGGAGCCCGCCAAATGGGAGGACATTTCCAGGGTAGTGCTGGAAGATAAAATACGTGAGCAGATTTCTGTGGTAATATTTTAAACCGCATTTATTTGGCACTTAACACGTACCAGGCACTGTTTGAAGCAGTTGTGCTAATTTATTTAACCTTCACAAGAAAGTATTGTCTGTAGTTTTTAATGAGGAAATTGAAGTACGGAGAGAACAGATGATTTATCCAAGGACACGTTCCTGCTAAGTGACCCAAGGCTGCCAAAGGTGTGCTGCTGCAGCCTGGGTGAGTACATTACTTGGGGCCAACAGACAAGTCAAGAAGGGCTTCAGAGAAGAGTACGTTTAAGTGTTTCTCTTATTGGAAGGAATTGTGGTTTCAAATTCTTTTAAAAAACCCCACGTGGCTTCCTTTGAATCTAATTCTTGAAATGTAGGGAAGTGGCAGCAGGAAGAAACCTTACAAGGGATGAGGAGGAAGCCAGCTCCCTGTTAGTTTTAGCAAAACGAGGATGGATATGTCTATATCTATCTGTATCTATATCTGTATCTATATCTATAACTGTATCCGTATCTATATCTCCCTTCACCATAATACCAGTTTCCGCCACATCTGGACTCAAATAGTTCCTTTTAGCATCTTAAAATCACTAACAAATTAGTACACACTATGCTTTTGTAGAAGCATCTGTACAACTTAAGAGTCCAGGAGGTCAGCGAACTATGACCCATGGGCTGAATTTGGGCTACCACCTATTTTTGTAAAAAAAAAAAAAAAGAAGTTTTTTTGAAACACTACTAAGCTCATTCGTCTACATATTGTCTACTTCTGTTTTCAAACTAGAAAGGCCAGGTTTGCTTTGACATAGACAAACTGACAGCTCAGATAATCCATGTCTAGAGGAGTGTGGTGGTCACCAACCTGTCCTTCCTTGACTTTAGGCTGTAGTGTCAAACGTATTAATGCCTAACCCCTATTGAGCACCTATTAACTGCCTACTATGTGGCAGATACCTTTATAAATGCTTTATGTGAACTAATTAACTCATTTAGTCAAGGGTTTCATAGAACGTTGGAGCTGGAAGGACTCATGGATATTATCTAATTTTTCACCTGTTTCAGATAAATACCCTGTCTCGTAGGCCTACTCATGTGGGCTGTGGCAGAGCAAAGTTTCCTGACTCCCAGTCCAGTCCGCTTTGCCACTTCGATCTTCTTCTGAGTGGGAGACCAATACCATATCCATTAGATACGGCATTTAAAAAAATGTGTGTGTGTGTGTTTAAACCAATGAGCGAGATCTCTTGTTTTTAAGTAACTTTTTTTCTGACTGTAAAAATAATTCATGTTTATTGCAGGGACAATGAAATATGTAGAAGACTATAAAGGACAAAGTAAAGTAACCCATTCAATGATCTAGAGATAAGTGTGTTGACGTTTTGGTGGGTTTTCCTCTGTCCTTTATGTGTGTCTTTTGTATATATCTGTATATTAAGAATAGTTTCTGTTTATTGAATGCTTTATATATGTGAACATTTTTTGTTTCAGTGTTTTGTAGTCTCCTGTTTTAACATATTGTATTTTCTCATGAATATTCTTTGAAAACTTGATTCCTAACAGTTTTGAAATCTATCATATTGATATGACGTAAATATTTATTTGCCAATTTTTTTTTATAATTATGGTAACAATGTGATCATTGTACAGAAATCTCTGTGCTAGTCTCTGATAATATTTTTTCACTTGGATTTCAGGGTTATTTATTTATTTCTACAGGAAAACCTCCAAACATTACAAGAAGAAAGGTCTTAAAACAAAAGTTTACTGTAATCTTATTTTGCAGAAATGACATGGTTAACGGTTTGATAGTCTGAGAGATTAAAGTTAGTTTTTTCAAAATAAGGCAAAATATAGATAATTGAGGAAATTTGGTAAATAGGAAAATCATTCATAATTCATTTGATCATAGTGATTATCAATTTCCCTTCTTAATCTTATTTATATGCATATTTTAGCATTCATGTATGATTGTATTTTAAGTTTTAATATCCTGTGTTTTTTTCCACTTGCATATAGCATAAGGATTTTTCCACATTGTTACATATTTTCACTTTCAATTATCTGCTGTCTGTATAATGTCCACCATGTGGAAGTACCATCATTGGCCATAATTTGCTAATTTGTTAAGCCTCAGTGTCCATCAAAAGAAAAATTGTGTTTTCCAACAACATTTCAGGGGATTTTTTTTTTACAGGTGACAAAAGAATTCAGTTTGTTTTTTTCTGTCTCTGGGAAATTCCTTCTCTATCAGAAAATTCTAACAGTAGGATTACTAGGTTAAATAGTATAGGCATTGTTACAACATTCCAATGACTTGGAGGATCCTCTGAGCTACATGCTGGGTGTTATATATAGGACAGATTGAGATCCAGTGCCTACAAGCTACAACTCAGCCCACGACTTTAAGACCTAATATATTTTGCCAAATTATCTCTATTGAGATGGTACCAGTTTCCATTCCCACCAGTGGCATATGAGCTCTCTTTCCATGCACCTCTGCCAGTTTTAGCATTAAAAAGAGAATTTCCAACTTGATATAAAAATCGATTCTTCATTCTTTCACTTCCCATTTCTTTGATTACCACTGGGGTGGAACTTTGTTTTGATGTGTTTGTTGGTCTTTTGTAATTCTTGGTGTATTTATTGTACTTCCCATTTTTCTATAAGTTCATCTTTTTTTTTAACTCATTAATAAGAAGTCTTTTATCTATCAGGTCTTTTTATCTATCAACTCCTTGATGTATAAGTCAAAAATACTTTTCCTAGATTGTTTGCCTTTTAATTTTATTTAGTGGGGAGGGTGTAGCTCAGTGGTAAGGTGCATGTCTAGCGTGTAAGAGGTCCTGGGTTCAATTCCCAGTACCTCTGGTAAATAAACAAACAAACCTAATTACCTCCCCCCATTTAAAAAAACATAATTTTATTTGTATTTTGATATAGAGATGATTGCTTTTCAGTGGCCAGATTTATCTAGTTTTGTTGTTTGTAGTTAGTTTGTGCTTTTTTGCATAATGCTTAGAAAAATCTACCAAGACCCTAAAATGAATCATTTATCTATTTTATTCTGTGGCTTTATTTTTCATTTTTAACCCTTTACTCAGTTTATTTTGGTATGTGGTGTGAGATAGGAGTCTCACTAAGTGTTTTTTCCAGATAGTTAAGCAACAGTCCTAACATAATTTGGAATAATCAACTTTTTAATGATAAGAAATGCCAATTTTTGTCACACATTAAATTATTTTACTTATTTTTCCCAGGGGATTAGGAATCTCTAAAATCAAAAGCCAAGGTTAAACTTCCTTATAAATGTGTAAACTCAGTGTTGAGGTTTCCTAGCTACACTCCTTTGATGATTTTATCTGTTACTCCCAGAATTTCAGTTACTTTCTGTATGACTAAAGTAAATGTCATAAATGTACATTTTCAGCCCACACCTGTCTCCTTTGTTCCGTATTTCAAACTAAATGTATCCTTTGGCTTCCCAAACCAGTGTTCCCACTCTCACTCAGTATCACTGTCATCACTCAAGCCCCAAACCAGCATATTATCATTAACTTCTCCCTCACGCCTCCCTCTGTATTCATCCTGTCCTGTTGGTTGCCCCCTTACTGGTCTGCTGACACAACCTCCTGGGGGTCTTCCAGCCTTCACCTTCCCTCCTACCTTTCCTGCCTTGTGCGTACTTTTCTCTGCACTGTGGACAGAAGGATGTGTGTTTGTTTGTTTTAAATAGCAAATCTAATCACGTCACATCTTTTTTCAAACCTTTTCCAATCCCTTTTTATGGCTTTCTGCCCTATTTAGGTTAAATTACTTAAAATGCGTTGCAGGATTATATCTGATCCGGCCTTAGCTTGTCTCGGGCTTCATGTCTTATTTCTAGTGCTTAATATTTTGGCCTTACAGATCTCTTTCATTCTTCCCAAGTACTGAGCTCCATTCCTTTTGTATATTCTATTTCATCTCTCTGGTATTTTCTTTTCTGTCTTTATCTGTTGAATTCTTACTTGTCTCTTCTTCAGGGAGGTTTTCTTTCCCAGATTAGATTAGGTCCCCTCAGCCCTACATTCCATAGCACCCCATATTTCTACCTCTATAGTTCCTGTATTTGTAACTCCTGGTTTAATGTCTTTGTCCAGCTGTGATGTGAGCTGTGGGTGGGTGGGGGCATGTTTGACTTCTTCTCTGCTGTCTGGCTCTGATTATATCCAAAGCCCACTCTACTGCAGGAGTCTCTGTAGAATTCTGCAGTGGGTCCATTTTATGTCCCTCCTATGGAAGCAGATCAGGAAATCCCAGACAGGATCCTCTTAAACTTTTAAAACTTAACACAGAAGCACAGGCCTTGATGAGAAGCCCACAGGGGCAGCCTTATTATGTACTTCAGCAGACAGCCTATGCTGATGGTAAACCATCTCTCTGTCTTGGCGTTTTTCTTGAAATAAGGCCTCGAATTCTACTTTTCACTTCAGGGTACATGAAGAGAAACTGGTGGATGAACAGTTATGATTTTTGACTTTCCAAAATCAAGCAGAAACTCTCTGTATTATTTTTGCAACTCTTCGTAAGTTGAAAATTATTTCACAATTAAAGTGGTTTTTAACTGCAGGCTACACTGTTATATTGAGCTATACCTGAAGAAAAAAATTTTAATTGCTATGACATCTAGAAGAAAAGACAATCAGTGCATCTCTAGGTTGTATCAAATAGAGAGAGTTCCCTCACTACTGCCCAGCTCCTTGACCTACAGTGGAGGTGGGTGAATCAGATTTAATGCATTAGCCTTGCTTTGAGGCCATTTCACTGGGCACTTTTAGTTATATTAATTGACTTCTCATATATTATTATGTAGTAGACAGGGTACACTAATTGACATGAATATTCCTATTTACTTTATGGTTATAAATAACATTCTGATTTATTTATCAAGTGCTTGAGTGTTTGCTAATATATCAGCCTGTCTGGCTGTCACTTCTTGGACAACTGACAAATGGAGTCTGTGCACCTAGAAAGCTGGCAGCCACCCCTGACTCTTGGTGATGCAGTCACACCCCTGTCCTGTCAGGTTTTGTGTGAGTTATTAGGTGGTGTCCCTCGGCAACAGCTCTTTCTCATTTTTCTGTTTCCTGGGGCAGTGATATCCCCTCCCCTACCTTTTTCCCCCTATGAGCAGGGCTCCCAGTTTTCCAACCTTGAAGTCTTTTACAGTCAAGGCAGAGAGAAGATTTGTGGATGTTGAATATGCAAGAAGCTGAAGAGAGAGAGACTGGAAGAGAGATTTGTCCAGGTGAGCAAAGGATAGACCATGGGAGAAATAGGAGGGCTTTAGAGCTCTTATAAGAGAAACTGAATGAAGCTCAGGAGAGAAAATTACCCTTTATTTTAAGGATGTCAGCGGTGTTTGTGCATGAGCATCTCTTGGGGCCGGCTTTCCCCCCAATAGGCATTTGATCTCATTTCCAGTATTTTGCGCTTTCACATTCTCCCATTATCCACTCTTTGAATACAAACCATCCATGTTTCCAGTCTTGCCCTAATTTTAGTTATTATGTGTTTTTTTCCCTTTAGCTCCCTTGTCTCTGATTGTCTCTCTTCCTTGGTGTCTGCAGCTGCCCACTGCGTGGGCTCCTCATTAATGCTGGTCCCCTGCCCTGATGCAGATCTCCTCCTCCACCTGCATCTTGGAATTACTTGCCCCCTCACTCTTTTTGGTCGTTACTCATCAGCTGTTACTGAGACCTGTCAAAGTTAGGTCCCTAAAACTTCAGGGGCTTCCACTCTGCCTTGTACAAGAGACATTCACTCAGATGGTTTCTTTCAGGTTGGGTGAACAAGCCTGCTCTGGAGCAGGACGGCTCTGAAATTGACTTGCCAGGGATAGCAGCAAAGAGATGCCTCGAGGATCAGTGCCAGAATCCTACATTTGAAGAAAAATATGTATGTAAGAGCATGAAGGAAAACCCTCCCAGAGAGGTTCCTGAAGCATGCCTTTTCCAAGATGAACGTTTTGGAGGAATAACTTTCATCCACAAGGAAGCACCTTCAGAAATAATTAGCCAAGAATATAACCTTGAGCAAAGACTGCTTTTGACCTCAAGCCTTGTTACACATCTCAGGGTTTCTACAGAAGGGAACCTCCATCAGTGGGACACAGACAGCATACACTCCAGTGAGATTTCAGACAAAACTAAATATCCAGGCCTCTCTACACAGAAAACATCTTGGAAATGTAGCGAATGTGGAAAAACTTTTAGTCAGAGCTCATCCTTTACCCAACACCAGAGAACCCACACAAGACCCTACCCATGTGAGGAATGTGGGAAAACCTTTAGTCGCAGCTCATTCCTTGTTCGACATCAAAGAATTCACACCGGAGTGAAACCGTATGGATGCGAGCAGTGTGGGAAAACATTTCGATGTCGATCATTTCTTACTCAGCACCAGAGAATCCACACTGGAGAGAAGCCGTATAAATGTAATGAATGTGGGAGCTCTTTCCGCAATCATTCCCATCTCACCGAGCACCAGAGAATTCACACTGGAGAGAAGCCTTACAAATGTAATAGATGCGGGAAGGCATTCAGTCAGAACACGCACCTCATCCATCATGAGAGAATTCACACTGGTGAGAAACCTTATTTATGTAGCGAATGTGGCTCTTCTTTTCGCAAACACTCAAATCTTACCCAACATCAGAGAATTCACACTGGGGAAAAGCCCTATAAATGTGAAGAGTGTGGAAAAACTTTCCATACAAAGGCAAACCTGTCTCAGCATCAGAGAATTCATACTGGAGAGAAACCCTATAAATGTAAGGAATGTGGGAAAGCCTTTTGTCAGAGTCCATCCCTTATTAAACACCAGAGAATTCATACTGGAGAAAAACCCTACAAATGTAAGGAGTGTGGCAAAGCTTTTGCTCAGAGCACCCCACTCACTAAGCACCAGAGAATTCATACTGGGGAAAGACCCTACAAATGCAGCGAATGTGGTAAAGCCTTCATTCAGAGCATTTGCCTTATTCGGCATCAGAGAAGTCACACTGGAGAAAAACCCTATAAATGCAACGAATGTGGGAAGGGCTTTAATCAGAATACCTGTCTCACTCAGCATATGAGAATTCATACTGGAGAGAAGCCCTATAAATGTAAAGAATGTGGGAAAGCCTTTGCTCACAACACATCTCTTACTGAACATCACAGAACTCACACTGGCGAGAAGCTGTACAAATGCAGTGAGTGTGAGAAGACCTTCCGCAAGTACGCACACCTTAGTGAGCACTACAGGATTCACACTGGTGAGAAGCCCTATGAGTGCATCGAATGTGGAAAATTCTTCAGACATAGTTCAGTCCTTTTCAGACATCAGAAACTTCACGGTGGTGAATAAACCTGGCATTTAGGTTATGACGGTTTCTCTAAAGAGAGTGACTGGGAATCTGGCTGAGGGGAGGGGGACAGGCAGAGTCCTGGAGGGAATGATGAGGGACTCTGGGATACTGCACTTGGAAGAGTATTTCCAGGAATGGAGGTGGGCGCTTGGAGAATGCAGTGCCTACTCCAGGTGGGCATCTGGGAATACAGGGTAGGAAATCCTGCTTTTCAGATAACTCCTTGCCCCTTGCCCCTCCTCTCTCCTCACAGCACTCTCATACCTGAGGTGCCCTTGGTGAAGTTAGCATTGTGTTTCCCTTACTGTACCCCTGCCTCACCTTTCCAACCTGTCACCTGTGTTCACTTGCCAGGAGGCTGAGGTGCTTCTCCAAACACCGATTGTCAGTGTCAAAGTGGCGGCAGTTCTGAGGTTGTGCTGAGTGGCCTTTGGATACCCAAGGCAGCTCTGAGCATGCTTCTGTGGGGAGGCTGCCCAGCTGTGGAAGTGGTCCAACGAAGGGGGACAGAAAGAAGTGAAAACAAAGAGTCCTTATTCATTCATTCACCAAATAAAGGGATATGTGGCCAGAACTGAGCCGATTGCTATAGAAATGTTGTTGAAGAAGGCTTTTATTAGGGTGAGGGAGATCTTTCCAGATCTTTTCAAACAGGAAGGTGAAGTGGGGCTAAGGAGGAAATGGAAGGTCAAGAGAGCCTTCTCTTGAATGATGTCAGTTTGTGGGAAGGAAGTCAGATCTGCTCAGAAGGTCACAGAGAGGAGGACCTAACTGCTGTCCCAGAGGAATGTTGGCTTATCCAGAAGGGAAATGGTTTGTGTTAGGCCACTAGTGCTGAGAGGCCTCAGAGCAGGAAGCCTGCATGTGACTGAGCAAGCCACCCACACATCCCTGTCATGCACTAGGGTGTCCTCTTGTCTCTTGTAAATTTGGCTGGGCCATTAGTGCACAGGGACCAGGGGAGAGGGGGCCACTAGGATTAACAAAGTGGGCCTTAGTTTGTTAGCTGTTAGAGAGGAGAAAACATCAGTGATGATGGACAATAGCCTTCCAGGTTGGCTGGGCCTGGGGGCTGCTGGGCCAGTCCCTGAGAGAGTGCTGACCACTGTAGCAGGGAGGGCTAGGTTTTGTGTAATCCTGGCAATAGTGGCTGTCACCATAGACTCACTAGATCTCATGTTTCTCTTTTGACTGAGACTCTCTTACTCCTGGGTACTTATCCTTCCCTGTGGATTATGAGTAGCTTAGGAAACACTTCTCATGGAATGAATTTGGAAAGAATTCAAGAAAGAATTACCTCTTTTTCAAATCCCTGAAGATCAGGACAGCACGTTTTGCTATGACTGTGATGGTATTTTATTCTTTTTAGAGAAAGAAAGGACATGTTTCCCTTTATTTCTTCATTCTCATGTTCTTAACGACTACCCAGGGATTCAGCTCTGGAAGATTGAGTAAGGGTTGCCTTTGACTGGTATTTGAAATAGCTTCTCTGCTCTGAAGCTTATATAGTTTTTAAAATATGACTATTAAAAACCACTGAAGTAAGTTAATTCTGGAATGGTTGATTATTTGGAACTCAGTATTGATTTTTTCCCTTACAAGCATTGGTTCGAGCAGTTAATTGCCGGTAATGGAAATGTAGCAGAAATAACACACTTTTTCCCTCTTCAGCTATAAAGATTATGTTCTCAAAGCCTGCCATAGGGCAACTAATAATTGAGTAAATTAATATCCTATGGGCAAAAATAACTATGAATACTTTATTTTTTATGCTTATGAGAAAAAATATAGTCTGCTAAAAGCAAATGTCAATTTATTTCTATTTTCTAAATGAAAAAAAACACTATGGAAGTCACTGCTGGTACCTAGTAAATGTTCAATAAATATTTATTTGTTGAATAAGTATATTTTAATCAAGCTTTGCCCACCAAAAACTTGAGGGCCTTCCTGATCAGTAGGTATTTAGGGTAATATTAATATGCCCCTATCTTTAGAGTCTTGAGTGGAGATTAGAGAGGACAGGGGGAGTTTTCTTGAGGAAGAAATGGGAAAACCTAAGGGTGAGAGATGCCTAAATCCTTGTTAGAAGGATTTTCTAAAACGGAATCGATGAAACAAGACTTTTTAATCCTCAGACTAAGAGAGTCTGGTACCATTTCCAGTTCTTGGGGAAACAGGAAGAAAAGGAACTCATCATTATTACACTACCCTCACCCCATATTCTCACACTATTTGCTCCTGATTTTCTCTTGGTTGCTGGCTCACCATGTGCCTAGTCACTCTAACTGGGCCCCATATAGGAACTGCCCTCTTCCTCAGGCTTCCCTCATATCCAGTCAGCCACCATATCCTGTTGACATTCTCTCCTAAATCTGGAGCCCATCTCCACCGCTACTGCTTTACTCCAGCTCCCCAGTTTATTTTTTAGGCTATTTTTCTACTTACCTAACCAGTCTCACAGTGTCTGGCCCCACTAGGCTATCTTTCACATTTCTTCTGGATGGTCTTCGCAAGACAACTGTGGCAACTCTGTTGTCCTCTCTGAGAACAGTTCTAGCCTCAAGGGGGCATCCTCATCTGGCCCATGCCTGCATCACCATTCTCAGCCGACATCCCCTGCCTGGCACATTCTGCTCCATAGTGCAAATTCCTATGATTCAGCACCACCACTGGACTCTACTTTGGCACCTTTGCACATACTGTTCCCTTTCCCTGCTTCTGATTGCCTGAAAGGCTCGTATTTGTCACTTTTGAATGTGCCCAGGCAATATCTCTTTAAAGCCTGTGACCTCACTTTTTTTTTAAATTTCTGTATTTTGTACCATCATCATTTTATGTATCATAATAGGCTGTAATAGCTAGTTTGCAAATCTTTCTCTTCTTGCTGGACTGTCAACTCCCTCAAGGCAGGGGCCATGTGAAATTTATTCATCTTTGTATCCAAAGTCTCTGGCGGTGAGAAGGTGCTCAATACATATTTGTTGGGCCCAACTGAAATTGAGTGAGACACTTCTCCATGTCCACCTACAGGTTGTGACTTAGATCCACAGTTACCAGCAGGAAGGAGGTATGGTGAGTACATGAATGTGTCTTAAAGTGTTCTCCAGAGGCAAGAATTCTGGACTTTTTCCCAAGATACCAAGTATGTAGTCCACTCTGATACAAACAGGATCTCATGAGATAAAGTAATAGGTAGCAAAAAAAAATCTTTTTTGTTTTGTTACAAAGTAGGCATTTAAGTGTGTCATCAGACTTTAACAAAGTGCTTTCAGATATGTTGTCAGGATAAACAGGAAGAGGAAAATACATGCAGCAGTAGATGCACAGAGAAGCACAGCTATGTCAAGTGGAATATCCATGAAATCAGACAGACAGGAGCTGAGCAGTGATGCTGGCCTTGTAGGAGAGCAGGTGAGCTTGGGAACCCCAAAATAGAAGCACTTTCTGAGCTTATGGCTTTCCTTGGGCTCTGGAATGATAAAGAACTGGAATGTGTCACTTATACTCAGTGTGCTGAAACTTAATTTGTGACTTCAGAAGGACATGGAATGAAGCCACGTGAGGCCCTCAAAACAACAAAAGGGAAAATTGAAAGGTGGTTGGACTTGTCACACAGTTCACACAGCTAGTAAGTGTCAGGTGAAACTGAAATTCCAGTGTCCTCACTTTTCCCTCAGATTTCTCTTCATTGGTTGCACCTCTGCTCCATGATGCCTCTTCACTTGTGTCTGTTATGCCCTCCTCCTGAGAATTGAAGGAGCTCACTTTAGATCAAGATTTTTGGCCCTCGGAATCAGACCTGACTGCATGTAAGTGAGGGTGAGAAATAAGTTGGTTTTGCATTTTGACCCCATCTTTCTTCCTACATAATGTGGAAATCTAGTCATGACCCCAGGTGGCTCTAGCTTCACTCTTGCAGCTAATGGCTAGAGTAGAACTAGGATCATTTTAGTTTCGTGGAATGTTTTTGGTGTCCCTACCTCCAATCCATTTTCCACCTATCATTGAAAAAGCTCATCCCAAACTGCAGTTACGCCCCAGATTCTTGTTTCTAGTAACCTGCTCTGCCTAGGGTACCCCACTCCAGGGTTAGTTTCCACCCAGCAGAGCCTGCTGATTTAGAGAGTCGTTGAAGCCTTAAAGTGGAAACATGAGTAGGCCAGGGCTTTCTGGCCTGTGGGATGTTAGGGCTGTGAAGGAAGAACTTGCTATCTGATTCCAAAGAAATGCTGAAAATGTGACTCTTGGTGAAAAGAAAGGCAAGCTCAACATTATTGTTCCGTGGCATGTCAGTTGACAGTTGTACAAAGAGTCCCCTTTTAGCTGAAGATGGTTAGTGATGGTTTCAGTCTTTGTCATCTTCACTCCCGTTTTCAGCCTCCTAAAGGGATTCCATTTTGGGAAAATAGCCTATCTGGAAATTTGAGCAGGTGACTTCTCTACTGCATCTCATTCATTTATTAAGTGTTTATTGAGTGCCTACAACTGCACACTAAGGATATGGTAATTTTCCTGAGCATGCAGATCAGTAGGAATGCCTGAAAGTGGATCAGGTGCCCTACTGCCCCTGCCTGAGCCCTGGAATACATGTGTCAGGATGAGCCTTGATGCACGAACAGTTCCTGAATGAGGGTCAGCAAGATCTAAATTTTTGTAAAAGGGAGGCAGGGGCACCACCTGAGGGCTGGAAAGGTCCTGGAAACCAATGCAAACAAGACTGCATTAGGACTGTAGCTGGAATTTGAGGAACATGAAAGGACGAACGTTTATTGAGCATTTCTAAGTACCAGAAACTCTTGGTAATTTACACAAATTAACTTCATTTAATCCTCACGACAACCCTATGAGAGTTGATGTCATTAATGTCTTTGTTTTATAAGTGAGGGAACAGGCACGGACAGGTAAAGTAACGTGCCCAAGTTCACTCACTTTGAATCTGGCACTTATGCCCAAAGCAGAGCTCTTGTCTTTTAGCCGATTACTGAACACAGATCAGGAAGCCCTGGGGGTGTTCGGGGTTCCTATGAGGCTAGTTATCTGGCGGGTGAGAATGAGTATAAGGAGGGTTGAAGCCAGCCTTGGGAATACCTTTAGAAGACCTCCAAAGGACACATGGCCAAGAGTTTTTAGGAAGATAAATGTGGTCGGGTTTCCGGGTGAATAAACCTGTAGTAAGAGCTCCTTGTGGCGGCCCCTACTCTCAGTAGCGTTCGGCCTCCTTAATCCAGGAAGGGGGATTCACAGATGGGTTTACGACTGTTTTCTCGGGGGGGGGCGGGGGGACGGCTGTGGTCGCTGGCGTGGCGCGGAGTGGTGACGTCACGCTGGAGCCCTGGGAGCGCGCCGACGTACCACGGGCGTCGTGGAAGCGCGCAGGCGCACAAGGGTTCATAGGCGAGGCGGCTGGCAGCATGCGGAGTCCTTGGTGAGCCAAGTTGGCGGCCCCGGGCGGCGGCTGGTCCGAGAAGGCTTCTTTCTGGCCGAACAGGGCCCTTTGGAGCCGAGGCCTGTTGCCGAGGCCGATTCTCCCTGGAGAGAGGGGGGAAGGCTGTTCGAGAGCCCTGGCCTGGGGGTCGGGAGGCCCGGGTTTTATTTGTACGTACTTGAGCGAGCAAGCGAACTCTTGAGTTACTTCCCGTTTTTCTGAGTTCCAGAAGCTGTTCCGCGCTTTGCCACTTCACAAAGTTGAGCGGGTTGAATGAGTATTTCTGCGAGTTAGCTTCTTCCTTTCGTTACTCTGAAATAGCAACAAATAGGTGCCGTTTGAAGTCGTACAGACTCAATAATTTAACAGCAGGAACTGTTGAATGCTTATCAGCCTGTATTTTAAATCCGTTCCACGGATTAACTCATTTATGCATCATTACAACCCTGTGAAGTAGTTATTTGTATCAGCTCCATTTAATATTTGAAAAAAATGGAACACAGAAAGGTTCAGTTACTTACCCAGTATCACTTAGCTAATAAATATTGGAACAGGGATTCAAACCCAGAGACTGCTAGCCCCGAGTCCATGCCATACTTGTCTTCAAGTTTAGTGGAGGAAGGTGGGATGTAATCAGAGTATTAAACATACAGTGTAAAGTGCTGCAGTAGACACGTGAATTTTTTCAGAATGTTGAGGAAGTGCCTTGGAAATGTGAAGAAAACTTTTCCACAAGGAAGAGGTATGGTGGTTCTTACTTGACCTATTAGAATTGTTTAGAAGTTTGACTTAGTCTAATTAGAAGTTTGAAAATAGTTTCTTCAGCGTCACATGAGAGATGCTAGTGGGTTGAGATGGATTAGACTAGAAACTGGATCCCTGCCTTTTGATACAGTGTTCTTTCCTTGCTTTTCAGAGGAGTTCTTAAAATATTTCCTGTTTGGAGGGATCTTTAACATCTTCCACTGTCTTTTGTTGGAGATTCTGCTTCACACAGAGGCAGTCTTATTTTCCTGAAATTCTCCACCTCTGATTGTAGGAGACTAACAGCTGGGTTGTTAGTCTGCTGTTGACTCAGCCTATTCCTAACAAGAGGTTATCTCACTGCTTGACACATAGTAGCTGCTCATTACTTTTCATAAAAATGAACTGAATAACCAGTTTCAATGAAAGAGGGACTGGAAGGGCTTACCTTGAGGTTTTTGCTCTTTTCCCATCTGTTTTTAGAGTCAAAGAATCACAGAATGTTGGTACTAGAGGAAGTTTTAGATATCATTTAGTTTTTCACTTTCATTTCACAGATAAGAAAAAAAGTCCCAGTTGAAACTGAGTGACTTGCTTAAGGTCACTGAACAAGTTAGTGGCCGAGCAGAGACTAGAACCCAGACCTCTTGACTCAGCCTGGTGCTTATCTCAGTGCCTCTACTGTAGCCCCACCGTCTTTGAGTTTTGTAGTCAGTGGCTTCTGCATTAGGTTTGGGGCGGGGGGGCGGGGAGCTTTGGGCTCAAATCTTACCTCCTGTGGAGGAATTTTTACCTCAAGATGCTTGGTCCTTAAGAGCACCTGCCCTCTTTCTTTGTGAGTTGTCATGTCTCACTGACTTCTTTGTCATTGGCCGTACTCTTGTAGGAGAACAGTGATATTATTTCATTCAGACTTAAAATAGTCATTTGGTTAAGGATGGGCTATTTCTGGGTTCCCCTGAATCCAGAGTATGAAGGAAGTAGGCTGACAGTTTATAGGTGCTTTTTCTCCTCCATCTGGGCCTCAGATTCCTGCTCTTCCTCTTGAGAAGAGTCCCCAAGAGACAAACCAGACAGAAACAATCAATTGTGTTCCTAACAGTTTGTCTATCGGTAAGTGAAATCTGACTAGAGAGCCCAGGATGGGTTGTTATGGGGGTGCTCATTAGGCAGACCTAAGGTGGATCTACCAGTGACCACTGTACCTCAACTGCAGACTCAAAACACAGAAACACCCAGATGTGGGACCATCTTACTAAAATCAGAGTGAGAGTGGCCTGTTGTGAAAGAAGGCTAGGGAGTAGTTGGTTATAGGATAGATCAAAGGGTGCGGTAAATTCTTATCACATGTATGTGAACTGCAGCAAGACCTGTCTGCAGTCATGTGGTGGAACACCCTGAAACCACTCACTGAACTGCTCAGGATGATGCCTTAATGGTGTGGCTATCAGATCTGGGAAAACTGATAGTAAGTTATTGGAAGACCCATGGTGAAGGGGATTGTTTCCTCAGAGAGTATGCAGTGAGCTGGTCTTGTTTGGAACAAGATCCTGCATAATCACAACAGCCATTGTTATTGGCCATCAGAAAGTAGTATGGAGCCTGGGTATCTGTTAAACTGAGTAAGAATACTGAGTGAACTGGATTTTTAGGTTATGGGAACAGTGTAAATAGATATGACTATTTATGACCTGAAGAATTCAGTCTAGTCTGATACGAACACATAATACCTGTATACATGTTTGTCTGTATATGCACTGAGAGAGGCTAGAAGGGAATTCATCCAAATACCAACTATCTTTTCCTCTGGGTGGTAGGATTTTGAGTAATTTCATTTTTGGACTGACTGTCTTACACAATAAGATTCATTCAGTATGATTGAAAAAAGAAAATCAGATCAATCTCTGACTAAGCCATTTGTGCAGATACACCAGTGTGTACCAGTTGACTCCCAGTCTCATTGGATCTGTATGTACCAACATGAAGTGGTCATGAAGACACATTCCTTAGTGAAAAAAAGTCAAATTGCATAACAGCATCTAACAATTTTATTTATGTAAAAGGAATCAAATGCTATATGTGTGTAGAAAATACATAGGAAAAAGACTGAAAGAATATACTCCAAACTTAATAATGATAATCTCTGGGAAGGAGATGGGTTTGTTTGGGTAGAGTCGGGTGGTAATGGTTATAAAATTACTGTTTTATCCTCTATGCTTTCATATTATCTTAAGTATTTTGAAGTGAGGATATATTCATGTGTCACTTGTATAATTAGAAAACTAAAATAGAAGGGAGCCTCAGGGAATAAGAATGTGTTGGTGTCTCCAGACCAACCAGAGAAGAGGTCACTCTGATGTGTTGTACCTGAATATCCGTTCTCTGATTCCCTGCATCTTTATCAAAGCATCAGGTTCAAAGTTTGATCTTGTTAAGTTTGTCTAAGGAGTCCACTTTTTCTCCAATTCTGTGCTTCCTAAGGAGTGTCCTGATGACATGATTTGGTTCCCATTCAGTTTTTTTATAGTAGAGAGAATGTATTAACCAGCTGGACATTAAGCATAACATTTTTTTCATTGTGAATTAGTAAAGTGACTTTCTGTTTTCTACATCATTCTCCTTGTGAATTTGATTAGTACCCATTAGATTCTGAAGCATTTTTGTGGCCAGATCCTGGACCACAATGCTGTAGTGAAGTTATTGTCCAATGGGGGCTTCTTCCCTAAGAACCACCTCTATCTTATTTTTCTGTAAACAAAACAGTGGTATCTTTTTTTCTTTCATTAAGCAGTACTCTAGTTTTTAAACTTAAAGATTTCCCAGTTGTACCTCGAGGGAGAGTGACAGATACTGAATGTTTTGGAGCGACGGGTCCAAAGAGATACCTGTCAAGGTGAGTGAATAAGGGAGGATTGGTGACGTGGACCTAGCAAAAGTTACAGCCCGGATCACCTTTTAGATCTTGAAAGAGAAACTCTTCAGTTATCACTAATGTGCCAATAGTTGCTCATAGGCAACCTAAGGAAATTATAACTACTTTACATCTGTTTTTTGAAGAGTAGAGACTATATAGGTGGATAGTAGTTTTCCCCAACACTTAATTTACCAAAGATTAGTGTACTTACTGCTTTCACATTCTCCTACTGTTCATCACTCTGGAGGAGCCCGGATTACCACGATCAATTTTTTGTTTTTTGTTTTGAGTAAAGATAGATTTATTTAGAGAGATACATACTATATAGACTGTAGGCTGTTTCAAAAGGCGAGAGAAAGGCCACGAGGTGTGGGGGTTGGGTACTCAGGTTGGAGTGAAAGTAGGTATGCACTCCATAGGGAGAGTGCGGGCAGTCTCTCCGAAGAAGAGGGAGTGAGAGAGGCAGCCTGGATCAGTTTTTAGTATCTGAATGTTTCAGAATCAGTCACAATAGGGCATTTTATAGATTTCCTAAGACCTGTCACTACTTCATCTCTTTGTCCCTATCACCTATTCTTATCTTTTCCCCAGGTCATTGCGATCTCCTATCTCTATTCTTGAGAAGAGGATAAAAATCAGGACTCTGCAATGCAGGTCTCTTACTCTGCATGGAGAACATTTTCCTTTGTGAAATTTTTTTTTCAGGCAAGAAGACCAAGCCTGATGGCAAAGTGTTAAACGACTTGAAAAAAAATGTGGAGGGTCATAGAGCCTGGTCTTTAGGGGTTCACATTAGGAGGAGTTGAAGATGCATGAAGGAGGACTAGGAGGGGAAATTCTGCACGACTGGGAGGACACCACATGCACACAGAGCTTTCCAGGAGAACAGTGTTATTCTAAGGATAATCATATTTGAGAAAGTACCTTGTAAGTATCATGAATGTGAGAGAAAGTTTCCTCTAAACTGGAACCTATTGGAAGCTCCTTCATTGTGTTTTACAAGCAGCATGAGTCCTGGCCAGATTTCACTGCAGTTGAAACATCAGAAACTTAACATGCGGAAGAAACCTTCAAAGTGTAGTGAATGTGGAAAATTCTTTACTCAGAGATCATCTCTGACCCAGCATCAGCGGATTCACACGGGAGAGAAGCCCTATGCGTGTACTGAGTGTGGAACTTGTTTCCGTAAACAGTCAAATCTTACTCAACATCTGAGGATTCATTCGGGAGAGAAACCTTATAAATGTAATGAATGTGAGAAAGCCTTTCAAACAAAAGCAGTCCTCGTCCAGCATCTGAGAATTCATACTGGTGAGAAACCCTATAAATGTGTTGAATGTGGCAAAGCCTTTTGTCAGAGTCCATCTCTTACCAAACACCTGAGAATTCACACCGGAGAGAAACCATATAAATGCAGTGAATGTGGCAAAGCCTTCAGTCAGAGCATATGCCTTACTCGTCATCAGAGAAGTCATTCTGGAGATAGACCTTATAAGTGTGAAGACTGTGGGAAGGCCTTTAATCAGAGTGCATGCCTCATGCAGCATCAGAGAATCCATTCGGGAGAGAAGCCCTACACATGTACCAAATGCGGTAAAGCCTTCACTCAGAACTCTTCCCTTGTCGACCATGAGAGAACTCACACTGGAGAGAAGCTTTATAAATGTAGCGAGTGTGAAAAAACCTTCCGCAAGCAAGCACACCTCAGTGAACATTACAGAATTCATACTGGAGAGAAACCTTATGAATGTGCTGACTGTGGGAAATGCTTCAGGCACAGCTCAGCGCTTGTTCGACATCAGAGACTTCATGCTGCAGAATAAAGCTTGGGATATAACCAGGGTGGAAAGACTTCTATGAAAACACATTTAAAAAAATTCTTAGGAGTTTATGACTCAGTCTTCAGCTGGGATGAATGTTTTGTATGTTGAGCAAGAGGAAATGTGTCCTAAAATTTAGGAAAATACACTCAAAACTAGATAATCTTGAGTTTAATGCCTTCCTTGCTGCTTAATGAGTGTATGATCTTGTCTCTCTCAGCCTGTTTTTCCCATCCCCCCCCCCAAGAATGATGATACTTACTAGGGGTTCTCTTGAGAATAAAATGAATTGTATATAATAACTAACTACCTGTAATTGATTTTTGAGTGAAAGATATTCCAAAAGTTTATAAAAATCTGGTTATTGGGCAGGGCGGTGAGTATAGCTCAGTGGTCGAGTGCATGCTTAGTGTGCATGAGGTCCTGTGTATAGTCTACTTACGAGTATTGCAAACAAAGTTCAACATTAGGTTTTTGTTTGGTTCTCATAATGTATTTTTTAAAAAGAACATTCTTCTAATTGGGCTGTGATTTCATGCTTAATCTGCAGAGGGCTATTTAAAACTATAATGTATAGATTTAAATAGGAGAACACATTTAAGACCATTTTATCCTTGAAAAAAATTCAGATTTTGTCAGAGAAAAGAGAAATTACTGGGATTTGAGTGGACATTTTGGGTACTCTGAAGAGCTTTAGATTTTGATGCCTCCCATTGTTGGATGTAATTTCACTTCAAGCTCTGGACTTCTCATTTCTATGGAAAAGGAAGACACCAAATGAATAAAAATTTATGCTGCAGGACATGTTGGGGGGTGGTTAGTGGTGAGGAGAATGCACATGAGAAGAGAGAGGCAGCAGAAGACAGAAGAAAATAAAAGACTGTTGAGGAGGACATGGCTTTACTTGTTTTTAATTCTAGGAGCACGACACTCAGGGGGAGCCTCTTGAGGGAAGAGGAAGGTAGGAGATACTGAGTTCTCAGGTGCCTGCAGGTGGGGCCAAGATGAGAACAGCATTTTGGGGATGTGTGGTGGGGATGCTTCCTTACAACAAAGAACGGCTTCTTACACCTCAAAAGAAGCAAAGAAATCAAAGGATGCTTTGCTGGTGCTTCATGCAGTGTTAATAAGCAACTTAACGGAAACAAGCACATCTAACATTAAATGTACCCTTGTAAGAAAGGGTACATTTTCCACATTCCAGAGTCAAGGAAAAAGAAGATACTTAGCTTGCTTAAAGTCAAACAGGTAATGTCAGAGTTGAATCCCAATCTAGATCCCACTTTTTGTAGTGCCAAACTCAGGTAATTTTCCATCACTGAACCTTTCCATTGTGTGAGATGCCAACATTGTCAAGTATGTGTGCTCATTGAAATACACTTATAAGAGTGGAAAAAATTAAAATTACATGCTTTAACCAACATAATTAGTATATTTATTCCAGCCTTTTTTCTGTTTAGCATTTCTTTCTTCCATTAAAAAAAAGACTGATTATTGTACTACATGTTGCTATTTGATTTAACGTTAGCCTTTGGCCCCACTGTTACAGACTTTGTATAAACCTCATTTTAATGCTGCCTAACTTCTTATTGACCTCCTCACAATTTACTGACTTGTTTCCCTACCGTTTGATATTTAAATTAATGCCATTTTTTCCTTATAAATCAGCTAGTGCACTTAGTGCAACGCCTGACACGTGGTATGTACTCCTGTTAGCTATTAATATTATTAACTTGGCAGTGAAACATGTTTGTATATAAAGCTTTTTCATCATTTTAAATAACTGCTTTAGGATTTTCAGAAGGTATGATCTTTTAATTTTTAAAAATTTTATTAATTTTTTGACTAGATGATACAAGCTTACAGTTTAAAGTTCTAAAAGTACAAAAAATTGAACAGTGAAAAGCCTCCTTCCAACGACGCCAGATAACCAGTATTGTCAGTTTCTTGTTTTCCTTCCAGAGATAAGTGATTATAAACAGGCAAATCTGCTTTTCCTCCTTTTTCAAAAACAGACTTTTTTAGAACAGTTTTAGGTTCACAGCAAGATTGAATGGAAAGAACATAGTGTTCCTATACATGTACAATCTCCCTACTGTGAATGCCCTGCACCAGGGTGATGCATTCATTGCAGGCTGTGAACCTACACACCATGAACCCAAAGTTCATAGTTCACACTAAGGTTAACTTTAAAATATATGTGTGTGTGTGTTTATAAGTACAGTCAGTTTACAATGTGTCAATTTCTGGTGTATAGCACAATACTTCAGTCACATCAGAATATACATTCATTCTCATATTCTTCACCATAGGTTACTATGAAATATTGAATATGGTTCCCTGTGCTATAGAGTATACACTTACTTATGTATTTTATATACATTAGTATCTGCACATCTCAAATTCCCAATATATCCTTTCCTACCCTCTTCCCCCTCTGGTAACCGTAAGTTTGTTTTCTATGTGAGTCTGATTCTGTTTTGTAAATAATTTCATTTGTCTTTTTTTTTTTAAGATTCCACATTAAGTGATATCATGTGGTATTTCCCTTTCTAGCTTCACTTAGAATGACATTTTCCAGGTCCATCCATGTTGCTGCATGTGGCATTATTTTTTTTATGGCTGAGTAGCACTCCATTGTATAAATATACCACAACTTCTTTATCTAGTCATCTGTTAGTGGATACTTAGGTTGTTTCCATGTCTTGGCTATTGTAAATAGTGCTGCTATGAATGTTGGGGTGCATGTGTCTTTCTGAATTAAAGTTCCCTCTGGATATATGCCCAGGAGTGGGATTGCTGGATCATATAGTAAGTCTATTTTTAGCCTTTTGAGGAATCTCCATAGTTTTCTGTAATTGCTGCACCAAACTACATTCCCACCAACAGTGTATCCCTTTTCTCCACATCCTCTCTAGCATTTATCATTTGTGGACTTTTGAATGATGGCCATTCTGACTGGTGTGAGGTGATACTTCACTGTAGTTTTGATTTGCATTTCTCTGATTATTAGTGATACTGAGCATTTTTTTCATGTGCCTATTGACCATTTGTGTGTCTTCCTTGGAGAATTGCTTGTTTAGGCATTCTGCCCATTTTTGGATTGGGTTGTTGGTTTTTTTTATTAAGTTGTACAGTTAACTCTTAAGAGTCATGCATTCTATAGGTTTGGATAAATGTATGACATGTATCCACCATTATCGTACCATACAGAAGTTTGCCCTAGTACTCCTTTGCTTTCCACCTATTCATCCCGCTCTCCTCCCAACCCACTTATCTTTTTACTGTCTTTCATAGCTTTGCCTTTTCCAGAATGTCATGTAGTTGGAGTTGTACAGTATGTAGCCTTTTTGAGTTGGTTTCTTTCACTGAGTAATATGCCTTTGAGTTTCTTCATGTCTTTTCACAGCTTGATAGCTCATTTCTTTTTAGCGCTGAATGTTTCATTGTCTGGATGTACCAGTTTATTTATCCATTTGCCTACTGAAGGATACCTTGGCTGTTTCCATACTTTGGCAGTGTTCAATATAGGTAATAAACATCTGTTTTCAGGTTTTTGTATGGACATAAGTTCTCAAGATCTTTGGGTAGAAATCAAGGGATGTAGTTGTGGGATGATATGGTCAGAGTATGTTTAGTTTTTTAAGAAAGTGCCAAGCTGTCTTCCAAAGTGGCTGTACCATTTTGCATTCCCACCAGCAATGGATGAGCATTCCTGTTGCTCCACATTCCTGCTGGCATTTGGTGTTGTCTGAGTTCTGGATTTTAGCCATTCTAGTAGGTGTACAGTAGCAGCTTATTGTTTTTAATTTGTGCCTCCCTGATGACACAGGAGGTGGGGTACTTTTTCTATTATTATTTGTCACCTGTGTATCTTCTTTGGTCAGGTATCTGTTCAGGATGTTTTAACTGTGTGTCCAGCTTCTGTTGCCCACAGGTTCACAGAGAACCTTCAGTGGGAGGTAAACATTACTGCTCCAGATACACCAGAGACCCAGCTTGTTGGCTCAGGGAGAAGCAAGGGCAATGGGAAAACTGACTCTGTGCCATTATCTCCTCGGGGTGCAGGGAAGAGGGAAAAGTGTACTGGTGCACAGCTGGATTGGTGTAAGGAGAAGCCTGGGAAGGACAGAGTGTCAAGGTAGCAGGACAGATGGTTGTATTCTAGGACCCCCACTGCAGGTTCAGAAGGATCCAGGCTCTGGAGAGAACAGAGGCTGTGATGGGATGAACAGCAGAAGAGTTATGGCTAGACTAGGGAGAATTAGGGGAAATAGCCACATGAATATAAAGTTCAAGGTCCCATCCTGCAGCTTAAGAACTCAGTTACCTCTCCCCAGCAGCTTCTGGGACCGGGACTGTGTTAGCTGTGCCAGTCTCTGAGGAAACATTCACATCAATGATGATAACTAATGGTCCCTTAATCTCAGCTTCTGGGACCATCTTTGCCTTCACCATGTTAAACCTGGGGCTGCCATTAGCCTAGAACGTTTGTGGGGCAGTGGAGGATTCCTAACCTCAGGCCTGGACAGATGCCTCCTGTCAAGCCTTTCTCCTGTCAGAAAGACTTCATGCATGACACAGGAGAAACAGCAGGTTGGTAGATGTCCGTCAAAAGACTGTTTCCATAGCCGCGTGAATATTTTTTCATTAGAGTCTTACTTGTTCAAGCTCCACTTGTATCTCTCATCTTGCCAGAGCTGTCAGAGGGCTCCCTTAGCAGGAGCTGGGGAAGTACAGCAACTAGGCACATGACCGTCTCCCCCATCCAAAGTGAGGTTCACTAATGAGGAAGACAAATAGGGGATCTGTTTAATTACGAAGTCCTCTGTAGCTATTAAATGTCAGTTTTAATTTTACTGACTTGGAAAAAATGCTCGTGGTATAAGGTCAAGTGAGAAGCAAGACAGAGAATGTATGGAATACAATCACAGTTTTGTTTACAAAAATACAATTTACATACACATCCCACACATGGGAAATAAAATGTTAGTGGTAGTTAACATCTACAAAGCTAGCAGTTCAGGTCAAAAGGGTATTGACGGACATACATAGTTTTTATCTTACTGAATGTTTTCTGTATTGTCTAAATTTTCTCCAGTAAACTTGTATTATCTTTAGAATAGGGGAAAAATGTTATTTTAAAAAATACCCCATATATTCTTAGGGAAAACTAAGTCCAAAGTGTTTATTTACACTTAATCATTTTCATCTTCATTGTCAAATGAAAGGAGGCTACTGTTTTTGATTTGCTTTTGTGAGTTCTTTTTAACTGAGTCCTGCTTATTTATTTCATCTTCTTTTGCCTTCTTCTTTTTTGAGCTTGCTGTTAAACCTGAATATTTTTCATCTGAGGAACGCTTGACTGGTTTTCGATACATAATTCTTCCATCAGCGGAAGCTGGTTCTTCATCTGCATCAAAAAGAAAGTTAAAAAACTTTCTCTCCTCATGATTTTGACTTTATTGGAGAGTTAAATGGCAAGAAAATCTCATACTGTACTTAAAGATGTCTTTGAGTCAGTTCAGTCTGGCCTCCTCCACTGCCGCTAGCCATATGCCCACAAGACATGCGGTCACTTAATAAACACTCTCTTACTAAAGTATTCAGTAATATTGCCAGTCCCCGATACATAACAATCAGGCTGTATTTTTAAGTATTTTTGAAAAGTGACCAGAGCTCCAGCATTTCCCCCTAAAGCAATGTAGTAAGTACTTACAAATAGTGAAAAAAAATACTGTATGGCATACCACACTTTGGGCACTACTTAAATAGACCTCATTTGACTAGTTTGTAAGCCTAACCAGTTATTTTTTTTAAAACAAGATGTTTTTACTTGAATTTGCACTTAATCCTTATAACAAACCAATAAAGTAGGCACAATTATTGTCCCCATTTTACTGATGTGATAACTGAGGCTGATAGGTGAAATGATTTGTTCAAGGTCACACATCTGATAAGTGTTAAAGCCAAAGTCCGACTTTCTCCTTCAAATATACCATACTGTTATATAAAATGATTTCATACCTAGCTCCTTAAATTGTTAGGAAAACCAGATTACTTTCAGATATACCTGCTTTGGCAGCCTTGATTTCTGCTTTAATTTTCATGACTTCTTCAGCTGACAGGTCTCCCTTTTTTAAAACCACCACTTGGGGCTGTTCATCTTCTTTGTCACTGTGATCGCCATCTTCATCTGGAAGCCGCGTCTGGATTCTCTAGAGGAAAACAAACATAACGTGTAAGTTGCTGACCTTGAACTAAATACAGTTGCTGTCTCTCTGAGAAACTCTAATTACTAATGTGAGAAAGGTAACTTTATTGACTACATGTGTTTGGTAATGAATTTTCAATTAACTCTTAAGAGTCTAACCTTGCCACACTAGGGAGGAGATCCACCAGCCAGTTACCCTGGGATGCCTGTCCAGGGGGACTGATTTCCATCTCAGCAGGACCCCAGCACACAGCTCCCAGTGTTAGGGGCCCTCTGCTTCTTGTGCTGCCAGCACTCAGCCCACTCAGGGCAGTGCTGACCTCCATCGGTCCTCTCTGCTCTTCAACCCTTTTCACTTCCATCTCTTCTCAAAGAGTGACAAACAAACAAACAAACCCACCAAAGTACAGAAAGCAACAAGTAAAAGGTCCACTTTCTCCCACTTCTGCTCATCTCTCCTACCTTCCAGCAGCTTATCTGGTGGGTATCCCATCAGCTGTTTTTTAAGTGTATAAAAAACATACACTTTACATAGCACTATGTGACATGCTTTCTTTTTCTTTTTAAATTATGGAATTTCCCAAGCGTAAAAAAGTACAGAGAATAACATAACAGAAACCATATACTTACTCTACACATGCAATAAATGGTAACATTTGGCTAATTGATTCAGATTTTTTTTTAATGTCAGATACCATATAAGCCTTGCTCCTCCAACTCTTACTCAAAAAAAAATTTGCACAGTACCTTGAGATACATATGGCATCATGTTTTTAAAAAATCACTGCCTAGCATTCAGTTATATATATGATCATCTCATGGTTTATCTGACCTGTTCTTTTTAAGTAAAAATTTTGGTTGTTTCTAGTGTTTTTCTTCTATAATAAAAATTTTGCACATTTTGTTCACTTTGGCAAACTTAAATATAGATAAATCCTGGACATGGAATTGCTGGGTTGAAAGGCATAAGCACCCCACCACACATTATTCAAATAATGTGTTTTTAAATGTTTAAGTTTAATGTGGTTTTAAGTTCACCTCTCACAGAGCCTTCCTTGTCTCCCAAGCAGGGCAACAAAGCCCTGCAAAATCTGGCCTTGGTCTACAACCAGAACTATAATCACAGCCTTATCCTCCACCATGTCTATGGCTTCTGGACTCCAGCCAGGTTTGAGTACTGCAGATCTATGAACATATTAGCTTGTTTGCCTCCTGTTGCTGAACAAGTTCTTGGGGCCTAGAAAGCCCCACTGACCTTGGCCAACTCCTCCTCAAGCTGCCTTCTAGACTTAGATCCTTCAAAAGTGCTTTCCTGATCTCAGCAGCTTTTCTCACACTGTGCATAGCTCATAGGTGGCATGTACCACTCTGTGCTATCAATATTTTTCTGTCCCGTCTCCACTAGGCAAGCTGCTTCGAGAGAGACACTATGTGTTTCATCTCTGTATCTAGAGGCACAGAGCCTGGCAAACAGCATGGACAAGAAACGTGTTTATCTACTCATGAATGACCAATAGGATGAAAAATGATTAACCTGAAGCCCTGGTAAGTTACTTGCAGGCACACTCAACCATTCTGTCTACATCCCAAATCGGCTTCATCACTTGACAAGTGCATTCTCTTGAATATCCATGTGAGTTTATTGTTTATTCATTAGTTTTGCCCATGTTTCTCTGAAAGGTTCCAATAAATGACCATTAATAAGTATTTTTAGCCAAGGAAATGGGGAAGTGAAGTAAAATCAACCCTGGTGTTCATCAAATTGAGAATCATTAATTCTGACTCTTCTTTTTGTTTATGCAACTGGCTGTAAAACAAGAGGGACAGTCTACGGAATAGTGGCAGCAGTCACTGAGGACTGTTCAGAGCCACTCCTGAATTAACTCTCAAGAAGATGAGTAAGACAATTTAGTTCAAGTATATATCGATTTCCCATGAAACTCTTCTTTTTGTTAACAGATCACCAGGATGATTCTATTACCTAAATGATGAAGAATGAAGTTGGTTTCACAAACACAGGCACATGAGGTAAGGAAAAGTGTCTTGATTAACCATGCAAGCCCAAGTCACTGATATTAACTGGAAAGCTTTCCCCCTTCAGAGCTCTCCTAAGGTAGTATCCTGAGCCGTCATCTTCGAGATGTTAACTATGCACACACAAGATCATCACTAGGACCTGAAATATACTATCAAATTAGGTCTCCTATTCTCCTCATGGCTGAATTCACATCCCTTTTCTCAAACCTCACCCTCTTTGTCATCACTGTTTCTGGTCCTGGGGACCAGTCACTCCCTGAGCATGTTATCTCTAACCAAACATGGCTCCTTGTTGTCCATACGGCCTCACCTCCATCAGTCCCTCAGTCACTTATACACATGGTCAATCCACGACTCACCATCTCTATACCTTTATGCCTGCTGTTCCTTCCATCTTCACCTGCTGACCTACCCATGCTCAAGATTCAATCTAAATATCCCCTCTTCCATGAAGCCTTCCCTGATGATAAGCATAGTCATCTGACCAATGTAACCTGTCATCCACTACTTGGTGGCAGGCACTGCACTAGGTGCTGGGAAATTACAGAGGGATTAAGATACTGAGTGTGTTTGATTTAGTGGTGGAGATAAACAGGAAAGCAAGTAATTGCAATGTAAAATGATGAGTATTGCAAATAAGATATGGATAGAGTGAAGAGAAGAACAGAGGAGGAGTAACTGGGGAGGTTCAAAGGCCTTCACTGAAGTGGTGACCTGTTAAGGCAGAGATGAGGCAGGCAGGAAGGTGCTAAAGAACATGGCATTTTGGAGATCCATCTATTTGTCCTTTCAGAGACTGGCACAGTGCCTGAGTTTAGCACATAGTCACTGCATTAACTGCACTTTTGTGTCTTACTAAGTTCTAGGTGACTTAAGGGGTGAGTCTTAGAGCAAGTGCTAGGCACCAAGTGCAAAATTAATTCTTTATTTCTCCAAAAATGCCCTAAGCATAATATTCTCTTTCTATTAAAAGAGGTAGGGCAGGTTTTGATGTGAACCAGTTCAGGTGGAAGCCTGGGAGGGCTCAGAAGTTGACTCCCACCGATTTCCATTCCTAAACTATTCAGGCGTGGCGCCTTCCTGAAGTTCCTCTTCTTCTAGTCAGATCCAGGATATTAAAGACTTTTGGTTATCTTTTTTTTTTTCTGTAACAACAAACCATTAGAATAGATCTAGGGCATTCCTCCAAAGATGTTCCAGACTCGAGACCTAAGATACCGGGTCACTTGATCGAGTGGCCTTAATTTTTTTATCGGGAAAGTGGGACGACGCTACTACCCACCTGCCAACTACAGGTTTTGGAATAAGCAAGTGAAAATGAAGAGACAGGAAAATGATCTTTCTTAACCATCTACCAAGGACGAGGCGCTTTACCTGCGTCAAGTCATTTTCAAGAACACAGCAGTACTCTGAAAACGACAAACAGCTTCCTGGGCGTATAAGGCTGTAGTTTTAAGAGGCCCGGTCTGGGGTCCGAGGCCACTCGGACTGGGGGCCGGGCGCGGGTGGGAGGAGGGACCTGTCAGTATCTGGCCTCCAAGTGAAGGCAGAAGCCGGAAGTGGCGGGGCGGGCCGCGCTTCTGAGGTAACGCGACTGGCCCCGGCTCACCTTGGTCTCTACTGTGGGCCCTTCCCTGTAGCCGACGCGTTCCTTGAAGCGGGCCAGGAATGCCGGCTCTGCTGGCCGCACGTACGACACCTGATTCCTCTTGCTCATGGCCGTTCTGGGGAAAAACTGGATTCCCGGGCCGCCTCGGGACTGTGCAGAGGCGACGGCGCCTACTCGTGACGTCACGTCGGCCCCTCCCCTGGCTCAAGAATGGGCAACATGGCGGCTTCCGTACTGGCGTCAACGTCCCACCTGGGCGCCAAATTCAAATTGGCGGCCATCTTGAGCTGATGGGATCGCCGCGCATCGCGCGGCTGTAAGTGAGGGCGCTCGGTGTGTCCGTCTCCGGATCGAGGGGTGAGGGCACCATGGCGCCCGGCTGCAAAAGTAAGTGAGGGGCCCCTGTCCCCGCCCCCAGATGCAAGGTTCCTTGCTAGGCGTGAAGGGCTGGAGCGGACTGAGCGGCGGTGGGCGTTTGGAATCTCTCTCCCTCCAAGACAATACATGGATGGAACAGCTCGCTTCTTTTCCTTGTGTGAATTGGGCTCATGCTACGAGCCAGGCGCAGTTCTAGGTACTGGGGCTGAGCAGAGAACTGGAACCGAGAGCCGTCATCCAGGAGCTTGGTTCCTGAGCGCCCTGCTGGTTCTTCCCTCCGGTCCTCGGTCCTGCTGTTCCTTGCGGGACTCTTCCCTAGTCCCGCCCGATCAGGGATGCCTCTCTAGGTGTTCTTGCCTGAGGGCTGGCCCAGGCTCTCGCACATTACTGACTTTACTGAAGGGGAGAACTTACTCTTGCTCCACACACGTTTTTCTCTTTTGGAGGGTCCACTATAAACTCTCCTTAGATAAAGGGACATTTAAAGCACTGAATTCAGCAGTGTCTTTATATTCTCACAATCCGTATTTTCTCCTCTCAAGGAGACCTCTCCAATTTCTTTTTCTCATGGAGAGCAGCCTATCATGTTTGCTTTTGATAAACCTTTCAGTTGTCACTAATTTCTTGGACCTTTGCTTTTCCTGAATATGTGCCCCACCTCTTACGTTGTGTAACCCTGTAAGGAGTCTGCTTTTTTAAAGCTGATTTTGAGCTGATTTGATGAATCTGTCGACTGAAAGAAAATGCACAACCTTAAAGTTGAGAGTTATGTATTCGGTGGACTTTCTGAGGACTGTAGCCCAGGAGGCAGCCTCTCAAATTGCTCTCAGACTGTTCTGCCCAGGCAAGGGAGAAGCCAGGATATACAGGAATTTTGCAACAAACACCAGATAGTCAGAACGTCAAAAGATTGCTGTTAATTACAAAAACCCAGATATCTCAAGTTAAGTAATTTGGCACTTTCTATGTATGGGAAGGTCCAAAGTTCTGGACTCCTTGAAATCATTCCTTTGATATGCACCTAGCTATCTAGGGTCAGTATCTTGTTTTCCACATCCTGAATTCCCTTAAGGTGCACCCTTGTAGGTGGCAGCAGAGGCTGGGCTGCCTGCTTGTCTTCATCCTGAGTTCCCTCCACTCATTGTCTGGAGCTGCAGTAGCAGCTGATGACTTGACGACCACAGCATTCTTTGTTTACTGATATGGCTGGCAATATTTTTCATTCACAGATCTTAGTGAATGGTATGAATGGTAATGAGACAATGCCCATATTAGAAGATTGAAGAAATTGTGAACTTTTGTTATTTGAGCCTTCCAATAACATTGTGCTTCTAGCTATCAATTGTAATTATTTTCTTATGTGTTTGTTTGTTGTTTCCCTAACCTTTTAATGGTATAACCAGTCATACCATTACCTGACTACCTCATTATGCTCTCTTTTTCCATCTAAAATGTTCCTTTTCCTCTACCATTTTCAGTATTCAGGGAATATTGGCAGACATATTGGTACATTATTGGACCAAAATGTTCATCATACTTTCTGCACAGTTACGGTGTTTGTTCAGTATTTTTGGACTCAAGCAAGAGAATTTATGCCTATGATATAATTAGAGCATCTGTTTATTTAATGGAAAGTGATATATGTACGTGACTGTCCATTAAAGGATTCTGTCCTGTCTGTACATATCACTTTTTAGAAGTGATGAGAGCAGGGATATTCAAAGCTCCCTTTTATCATGGTGGTGATTTCCACAGGGAACTCTCCAGCTCCCTTAAGTTTGTTAGCAAAGTTGAGGTTGATGACATCCCAGGTAAGTGCCCCTCGCAGCAGCCTAGGGACCTGGAACATGAGGTGGGAACACAGGAGGAGAGAAATGCAACCCTCATGAAACTGACTGAGTTTAAGATTCCCTTTCTGAACATAATCATATTTGGTCAGATGATCTATAGCTATTTATCTGGATGGCAGAGTAAAGCATCTATGGTCTTTTTAAAGCAAGAATACTTTTTTAAAAAATTTACTGTTTTGTTGATGTTTTGCTTACACATAGTAAAGGACACAAATTTTAAGACTACTACTCAAGGAATTTTTGAGTATACAGTGTATAAATACACTCTTGTAAACACCACTCAGATCAAGAAGTAAAACAGTTCTTGTACCCCAGAAAGTTCTCTGTGACCCTTCCTAGTTAATAACCACACTACCCCCAAACATTACTCTAATTTCTGTCACAATAGTTAGTTTTGCCTATTCCTGAGCTTCGTGGAAATGGTACAGTATTTAGTCTTTATGTTTTAGCTTCTTTTACTGAATGTTATGTGTATGAGCATTGTTCTTTGCATGTAGCAGCAGTTAATTCTTTCTCATTGCTGCTTAGTGTTCCATTACGTCAGAATACCACAATTTGTTTATTTTTCTATCGATGGTCCTTTGGGCTTCTAGACGGGCTGTTATGAATAAAGCTACTGTGAATATTCTTCAACATATTTTAAGTTAAACACATTGAGGACCTCAGGATCTGAATCCTATTGTTGTTCTTTGGCTGTGAGTCTGTTACTCAAAACTGCTCAAGTTCTCAGCCTCTTAGCTGCAGTTTTCAGAATCTGCGATCTCTGAGGGAAAAATCAGCCTCAGATGCTGTGTTCACACTTCTGTGCTTCCACCCCCTCTTTGATTCTGGCTCCACAGTTTCTGACTGCCTTGGCAGGACTCCAAGCCTTGACCGGGGGGACACAAATATTCATACCATAGCAGTGATGAAGAGATGACATCTGTTGTTTGTGCAGAATAAAGGGGTTGACTGCAGTCATTGACTACTGTTAGCGCAGTACACTGTGTCTAAGGACAGCTGAGATTTAGGTGCCTGTTTTGAACTTGCTCCCCCCAAAACCTCCAAAACATCATCCAAGTACCGTTCTGACTTAAGCTGTTTTATTTTCTGCTGTCAGGATATATGATGCCTGTTCACGTTACCGATTCTAAACGTAGTTTTCTTCTTTCTCCAGCTCTTCATAAGAACCTGATTTCAGCTTTCCTAACATGAAGCTTTCCTTTTGGATCCTGGCTTTGTCATACTTGTTTTTACTTTTGCTAAGGGTTCAGAGAGGCTGTTTCTTTGATGCCAGGCCTTGAGGGAATTGTGAAGGGCAGGTGGGAAATTGGGCAATCCGTGGTCTGTTTCCTGATTCACAGACATTCATTTACTTGGGGGTTCAGCTGGAGAGGCTAGTCTCCAGGAATCAAATTGTAGTGTGACACGATTTGCTTGGTGCTCTTATGCTTAAGGCAGGATAGAAATTAAGAAGTCCTTTCTACTGATGTCCTAAGATTCATTCATTCAGAGATGATTATTGAGTGCTTGCTGTGTGTCAGGCACTGCTCTAGATAATGCTTTATAGTAGATTTGGGAGAGAGAGTAAAAAATTAATATGTATTAATGATAGCAGTAGTAATACATTCTTTGAAGAAAAATAGGGCCAAGAGTGATAGATGGCTGGGAGGGTGGGGGAAATGCCTTATTAGGAAGGTGCTGTTTGAGTTAATACCTGAAAAAATTGAGGAAATGTTCCAGGCAGAAGTTACAGCAAGTGTAAAGGTACTGAAGGGCGGCATGTTCTAGAAATAGCCAGGAGTCTAGCTTGGCTGGATGGAATAGGAGTGTGAGGGGAAATGAGTTGTGGAGGTGGTGGGGAGAGGCAGAGGCACCGGGCAATGGAGAGCCCTGTAGGCTCTTGTGAGGGCTTTTCCATCTCTGACTGAGATGGAAAGCCACTGCAGTTTTGAACAGGAATGACTTTCTGTGACACACACTTAATATTTATTTATTTTCATAACTTTTAATTTTGCTGTAATTTAAACTTACAGGAAAGCTTTACATATCTTAACAACTTTGCTTTTTGGCATATCTGCTTTATCATTCTCGCTTTCTCTTCCCTCACATTCCCAACTGTGTGTGTATTCATAGTATTTTTTATGAACTATTTAAGAGTAAAATGGTTAGTACTGCTAAATATTAGTACCACTAGATACCTCAGTGTGTAATTTCTAGGAACAAGTATATTCTCTTAAACAATCACATTGTGATGATAAAAATTAAGAAGTTTTACATCGACACAGTACTGTTGCTAATCCACTGTCAGTCTTTTACATTTGTCAGATGTCCCAATAATGTATTTCTTTTTTAATTTTTTGAGGGGGAGGTAATTAGGTTTATTTATTTATTTAATGGAGGATTGAACCCAGGACCTTGTGCATGCTAGGCATGCTCTCTACCACTGAGCTATTACCCTCTGTACCAATGGTGTACTTGTATCACTTTCCCCCAGAACCAGATCTGATACCGGATCTCTCATTGCATTTTCATTGCATTTACTACTCATCTCTAACTTTAAAAAAAAAAACGTTTTTAGCAACTTAATTGAGATATGTCACATAGTATACAGTTTACCCATATGAAGTGTAAAATTCAATGGTTTTTAGTGTATTTGCAGATATGTGCAACTATCGGTATAGTCAGTTTTAGAACCTTTTTGCCTCAGAAAGAACTCTCCTTCAGTTCTCAGCTGCCTTCCTGCCCATCCCCCACCAGCCCTAAGGAACAGCTAGTCTACTTGACTCTTTCTATTCATCATTCAAAGGGGCATGTTGAAGTCTCCAATGTTATTGTTAAATTGTCTATTTCTCCCTTCATTTCTTGTTGGTTTTTGCTTCATGTATTTTGGTGCTCTTTTATTAGGTGATTATATATTTATATCTTTATTATCTTCTGGTGGCTTGACCCTTTCATCATTATAAAATGTTG